TTTTCACATTAAAAAAATCTAATAAAATATGTAAACAAAGTTATAAACATGTTTGTGTAAAAAAAATTTACTATTTTTAATACAAAGAATAAGTTAATTGTATACATAATACAGGAATCATTTTTAGACGTGATCATGTAACATGTTTTTGATAAAACAAATACGTATCCGCATAACATTAAAATTATAAATCATACATGCGTTCATGTAACAGTAAAAATATATATTGAAAATAAGAGCAACGGGTGGGTGGAAAGGAAAAAATAAGTGTTTTGCTGTTTTTTATAATTTTACACTATAATTTTTGTAATAATCAATAAAAGTTATTTCATTATTCTTACTTAGAAAATTTTTTAAAAATATTTTTTTTGACAAATTTTACAGTAAATTTTAAAAATAAAAATTCCGCGTATTGGTGGCGTTACAAAAACATGAATAAATCCATAAATATTTATTCAATCATGATAAAAATTTATATATAAGTAGATTCGAATCTGCTGAACAACTTTACTTAAGAAGATTTTAGATGTTTCCTTTGACTAAAGTGCCTAAATTACGCTCTAAAGTCACAGAACAGATATACGAAATATTAATAAGAAATATTTATAAGTTGTAATATTACAAAAAAATAATAATAGCTTTATCCATACATTATTTCAAAAATTTTTGTTTTTTTAGTTTTTTTTATATATATATTTTATAAAAAAAATTATATATAAATATATATATGTCATAAAATAAATTGCTTAGCAGTGTAAAAAATTTATGGGTTAGATAAAAGTTTGCTTAGCAGACATGAAAAATATTTGCTTATTGACCTTAGTAAATTTTGAATTTTTTATCTGACCTATATATATATTGTTCGGGGTCCTATCTACATCCTGGATTAGAGTTTCCATTTTGCATCAGGCTTACACTGATTTCAAAATGTACGGGACATGTGACAAATTACAAAATTCTATTTACTGACAACCCGCATGAATTTGTCAAGTGTACAGTACACTGTAATTTTGGCCAGAATTAAATACGATCGGCATATAATTGGCCGAATTTATAATTTCAGCCAGAATTACAAAATTTGTGTAATATAATTCCAGAATTTAATTTTCTATAACTGATAAAATCCTGGTGGCTAAACTATTTACCCAGTATCATGTGATTTATAATTTCGTAATTTGGGCCAACACTATAAAGTTTTGATATCACACTGGGTTGAGCATCCGGTTGCACTTGCTTTAAACACAAACTGGTTTTTGCAGCATGAATCCGGATTGAACCGAATTGTAAAAAAAATGGGTGAAACTAGTTTAAAAACCAGATGGTGCATCTGTTTCCAAACTCTATTGATTATTCATTAAAATTTGGCTAATCAGAGATTTACTTGAAAAAATAATTAGTACTAGAACTTTTATTTGCATTGGTAATGCCTTGTGATTTTTTCCAATCTATTATTTTATTATAATGCAAAATTCAAATAAACTTCTTGAAAGCCAAAATGAATTTATCTAAGTAACAAATTAACTGCTAATATTTAGCTTTTATAGCTAAGTAGCAAAATGTTTAGAAATGCAACAATATGGAGCAAAAACCTATTATTATATTTAATATCAATTGAATGATTTTAGGCTTAATAGTCTGTAAAGTAATATTATTTGCATTACCTGAGAAAAGTTTTAAGGTAATAATATGGCAATTATTTAATGCAAACTAAAAAATTAGTAGTACTATAATAAAAAATACTTAATGGATATTAAACAAATAACAATCAATAATTTTACATAATTATATTTATCATAACTTAATTTAAAAACAGCTTATTTTTTATTTGTATAAATATAATCTTTATTTTATATACAGTACTGGCAAAAAGTAATCAGAATTGCAAAAAATGTGATAAATGAGAAACCAATGATTAAAATTACTTCAAATTTTATAGAGTTTTTGCCAAATATGTCATTATTATGTATATAAATTATCAGCCTTTTATCTTATTTCTTTGTTTCTCAATTGATTTTTTAATTCAAAAAAAAAAAATTGTAAAATATTTAACTTATAAAAAATCTGAAATTCTAATTATAGTATTCAAATTAAAATTCATAAAAATGTTGAATGATTATAAATTAAAGTTTACACTAAGCTAATTTTATTAAAAAAAATTTGAAACTTTTTTATTTGTTGGTTATTGAGAAAATTGAGATCAAAGTTTCTTTACTATATTGATCGCAACCTAACCTAATCTTTAATTTTAGTAAAAAGAACTAAAATTCAAAAATTAAATTTTAATTACAATAATTATAAAGGATTATAATAAAGACTTTTTAATGTTAGTTTAATAATATTCAAAATATTTGAAAAAATAAGTATAATATATTTAAATTTTATTTTATTTTAATAATTTTTAAGTCAACATTAATGAAAAACTAACTAATAATTAAGTAACAACCAAATTTTTTCAATAAATCAATTAAAGATATATTTTTATGTTTATAATTTTTTATTATAATTATATATGTTGATTGTTAATGATTAAGGACAATATTAAAAATCTTTATTAAATTTTTACCTTGCTTAAATTTTTAATGGATTTTTTTTCGAAAAAAAAAATCAATTGTAAGATAAGGAAATAAGATAAAAAGCTGACATTTTATACATTTAATATTAATCCATTTGGCAATAAATCTGTAAAATTTAAAGTAATTTCAATCGCTGGTTTCTCATTTATTGCATTTTTTTGCAATTCTAATTACTTTTTGCCAGTACTGTATATTTTTAAAATGCAAGAAAATTATTTAATAATAAAGAATTTCTTATAAGCTATATATAACTGGTATTTAAGCTTGTATTTTGCAATAATGTTATATATTAGGCCATACAAATTTGATTTTATGGTCAATAATCCAGCAACCTAGCTTTTAATTTTTTTTTCAAAAATTTTGTATATGAAAATTTTTTTCAATTTTTAAAAATTCTTACCTAGTATAATAACAATATAAAAAAATTTTTTTTTTAAGACTTAACAAAAACTGATCTGGCTGGACTATAAAAACCATTTTTATCACTTTGTGTTGCTTTATGTTAATTGATAAAATATCATATAATCAAATGGAAATAATAAAAATGATGATACCTTAGAATAATTTTTAGTTAATAGAGTACATATTTTACAAATTTTATTCCTTTATGTTTGGTAACAGAATTTGGTAAGTATTTCTTTATTAGTAAAATTGTACTATCATTCTCATTTACTTATGATTATTTAAATATAAGCCAAGTGGTGAAAGTGATTATTTACTTAACTGGACAGTAAATTTGAATTTATTGTTCAGAATGCCAAGTTAATAAATTATTAAATGAAAAATGGATAAATTAAACATAAATTATAAAACACGTGATATGAGCACTATTTAATATTGGTCAAATGACTTAAATGCATTGTGCCGATCTCTAAAAATTTTGCCCAAAAAACACAATTTTTATATGGAAATCTGTACTGTAAATTATCATTTTTATTTAAAAGTTCCCGTTATTTTAAATTATCATATCTTTGTACGTATAAACAAATGTTACATAGCTGCTGTGCGTTCTTTGTCTTGATAATATTATAGTTGAACAGCTTCTCTAAAAGGAATTTATAAAAATAACTGACTCCGAAATAAACCAATAAAATGATAAACGGGCTTTTTTATTAACCGAAAAAACAACATGTATTCAGCCAAGACATCAAGTTCGGGTCATCAGGTGGTTTAACACACCAGGCAGTAAAAATATTAAACCTAGTTTGTATTAATTAAAAAAAAAATTCTGATTTTGGTCACTGAGAACGAAAACGTAAAAAGAAATACTATTATATTAATAAGCATTGTTAGTTTGTATAACTTTTTTTTTAGCAATAATATTTTTCATTCTGTATTATCAACCGATTTCTAAAAATTATTCTAAAAAGTAAAAACAATTAATTTCCTTTTCGGAAGTAATGTCACAACTTATTTATCTGTATTACTGACCGGTCGTTCCACGGATTCGGAAAATCGAAAATTAAGATTTTATTCTTTCATTATTTTATATAAACATGTCATATTTATTAGGAGTATTTTTTTTTCGAAATTTCATTCAGTCCTTGTTAATTGTCTTAAAAATGGATTATTTTCAGAAACAAGCGTATATTGGAGTTTTTGTTGGGATAACCGTGGTGGTAAGCTATCTATGCTATATATATATATACACTAATGTACCTTATATCGTAGGCAATAGTATAGTATTCTCTATATAAATTTTGTACATGTTTTATCAAAATTCTTTGTTACCAAAATTTGTGGTTTTACTATTATCTCCTACGATATACGGTATAGTCTGTAAATGTAAATCAAATTATACGTACAACATATAGAATTTTAATATATACGTAATTTTTTTTTCCAGATAAGTTTACATAATATGATCGTTTCGATATTTTTGTACAAAGTTCGCGAGACAAAAATTTCGAATTTTCTTAAAATAATTGTAAATTTTGCCAATATATTGCGTTTTGGTAGTGTATTTGGCGTACATATGACTCCTCACATTGCCACTCTACCTCAATGCGTATCTTTTCAATACATGGCAGCCATCGGTAATGTTAGCATAAGGTTGGCATTAACAGCTTTCTTATTATGGCATTTAAAACAAATACATAATAAAAATACAGACAAATGGATTGGTATTATATTATTTGTGATCAGAACCTGCTTAGCAGTAAGTAAAATCCTTAATTTTTTTTTTACTGTAATTAAAAATTGCTAAAAAAATTTAATTTCTTTATTAAAAGGTCCCTCAACTCGGTTTACAAAGACCAGAACTTCAAACTATTTCCGAGATTAATTTAATAGTTTGTGACCTCAATATTATCACTTTACGATATTATTCGATTACTGAGATATTAGTTGAAATTTTCATTGATATATATGTGACCGTCCGTTTAATTCTTATATTAAAAGAGGCTAATAAAAATGTTGCAAGTTTATCTACAAATATGGGACGCCCAAAAAGGTCTATATTCACTGCCGTTATATACTGGAATTTCTTACGCTTATTCGTGATTTTTATCTTTCATGCATTTGGTTTTGTAGATCTTTATATTTTGAGCCAAAGCTTAAGTCCCGTAACATTTGCAGCAAAGTGTTTAATAAATATATTCTTATCTTACGTGATTACCGCTGATGCTGAAATTGTGCGAGTCATTGAGGGCAAATCTAATCAAGGAAATAATAAAAGAAATCAAGAGAAGCCAACAAAAATCAAAACAAATTCCTTATTAACGATAGATACAATCGATTCACCATCTCAATTTCTTCAACAACATGAGAAAAGATCATCATTCTCTGACAATGATGAAATAATTGAAGAACCTCTAAGTCAAAACAATTGGGATTTCAATAATGAAAAAATAGTTGAAGAATCTTAAATCTTAATAATAATAACAGTACAGCTAATAACGGATGAATCATGAACGGTTATTTAGTATAGTTTTGTAGAATAACTTTTATTAAAATAACAATTATGATTATTATTATTTATAAAATTTCAAATTATTTTTATGGACTTAAGTTAAATGGCCTATCGGGTGACGGAATAAAGTATATCAACTAAATTACTATTTAAAAAATATTTTTAATAATAGTAGTAATACATCATGCAGGAAGCTTATAATGGTCGGTTTAATATTGTGTAGATTTCCAAATTTATATATGAATAAGTAAATTATCTTTTTGAAATTAAGATTGTTTTTGACTGGTTTAATATATATATATGATTCTGATAAACTTTCTGTAATTTCGTTATTATTCTATCTTACCAAAGTATATTTATGCCATCATTATTTCATTATTTATTATTTATTTATTTACAAATTTATTATCTGTTATATAAAAATAATAAATTATAACATATACGATAGATAACGCTTCCAATAATAATTCCTTAATGAAGATATTAGAATTGGTTTGTCAGAAGAGAAATATAGATTTTACTATAGATAATAATCATGTGAGATACATGGCTCACATAATTAATCTTGCCGCACAAGCTGCCTTTTCTTGTTTAAAAGTTCCTCATGTACCTCTCATCCAAGAAGGTGACCACCTCCTTATCCTCTAATGACTTTGAGCCGGTGTCATTTATTTTGCAATCGGGCTCCCTGTCCTTCAGTGACTTGGTGTCAGCATTGTTTTGGTCAATGACTTACTTATTGTTCTGTGCCTGTACATCTACTGCAAGAGCCCTGCTCCAATATTGCGAGTATATACTCTCGAGCTCCCGGATACTAGATTGTGTTGAGCATTCTCAGCATCACGCTTGGCATTCTCTTCCATAATCTGTTTTAGAAGCTCAACATTTCTAGCCTCTATCTCAGCTTTCTCAATCTTTAAGCTCGTTGTCTCAATAATTCACTATGACATGATCTATAAAACCTTGACAAAGTCAAGTAAGCATTCAAAATAAAAAAATATATGTTATAATTTGTAACGCCCGATCACTTTTGCCAAGAAAAAATTTTTATTAATGTACGCAAAAAATAAATACAATGATTGGGACTTTGCCCGTGATACATGACGAAAATTTTTATTCTATATCTACAGACTAATATTACACGATTATTTTTTTCGAACGATAACCCTCTATTCTAGCTTTTTTCTTTGAGGGAGAGTCATCTTCTGCACATGCCCTGTCCTTTAATAAACCTACGATTATTTACTATTCACAGTTCGTGGTCGATGAAAAATTAACATAAGAAAAAAAAATTCTCACCTCAAGAAAACATTTTTTTAGCTATGATATATTATATTCCGGATTAGCTATGTTAACGAGGGATTCCCATGTCTTGATTGCATAATCAACTCACCGCAACTTTCATCACCAATTATTTCGTATTCAGGTCTCATACTAAATTCCTTATTCGTAGCATCTCCCACCGTGTGAAGATGATCGAAACGTACTCATTACGCATGGCTTTCAAGCTATATGACCAAAGACCCATAACTGACTAAAATTTCTATCATACAATGCTCGAAGTGTTCGTTCGTTGGGGTCTTGAATTTCGTGGGTTTGTGGGATGATGTCCGTACTATTGGAGTCAATGCTACATCTCGTTAACACTTCCTTCAAACTGTGTAAGACGAAAAGGCCCTCAACTTTTTTTCATAGCGAACTTCACCAGCTTCTCCACCCGGCATTCCCCATTTCTCAAGCTTTTCTTCGATTAAGTCAAAGAAGTTCCCGCCTTCTCGATTATCTTTCATCTTATATTTTTTTTAATGTCGTCTGCTAGCGTGGCCGTCTCATCTCCAGTTGCTGTAGCTGAAGTGATCAGATAAAAAAATAGTTACTGAAAAAAGCGTCATTTAAAATGTTCACAAACATATTGGTCCTTTGAACTAAAAATTTTATAACTGATTGACTTCGTACCAAACCCGCTTTATACACAGTGAAATTCGATATAATGGAACTATCCGTTCCATTAGTAAAATTTGTCAAAAATCCGTTATATCGAGGGTAAATTAATTATAAATTATGATAAATCCATTCCAGACCCCAATTCCGATATATCAAAGACTTTACTTATGTTCCATTATATCAAGACTGTGTATAAAAGAATTTATATATTAAAACGAAAATTATCCATGCAAAGTATTTTAAGTGTAATTGTTTTTGAAGTTCCGTCTTGACTGTCCATGATATCTACACTAGGGAACGCAAAAATTACCTCGTATTACTTTCTTGACCCGGTCAAGATATGCATGATTATGTATGACAAACATTTTCTTTTCTTGATTCGAAAAGAAATATTTAATAAAAATAATTATTTTTTAATATAATAATATTGATATAAAATATTAAAATAAAAAAATTTATTTTTTAAAAATAAGTACCATATTATTAAGTATTATAAATCTATTTATTAATATTAATGTCTTGCAAAAAATTCTTTTTGTGTCTACATTCTCGTAAAAGAAAAGAAATAATGAAATACCGTTTTTTAATTTTCAGAGAATATGTTTGTCATACATATTTTGACCGGGAAGTTAGGGAACGGGAACCGTAGTAACTAAAATAAGAAATTGTTGGATTGTTGTGCAACGGGGAAAACCGAAGAATTCATGTGACATCATTTATCATCATGTTGAAATAGGTGCAGATTTGTCCGCTTCGACTTGCCTTTTATAAAAAAAAATATGGAATATAAAAGACGGAATATAAAAAACGAAAAACGATAATGGTGAAAAACGGAGCCGAATTCCTGATTGCCGATCATCCGGCTGGTTTAATCGCAGAAAATTAACTGCACCATTCTTAAAAAACGGATCGACTTAACAATTATCGATTTCTGTAACAAAAGATCATTACCCCTGATTCGGGTCATCTGGTCATCTCATTATAAAACCTTTAATGGAAAATTTATTTTTGCTGTTTTAAGAAAAAAAAAAAAAAATTCAGGGGGACAATAAATTCGTTTGATGGCATTCTATTTTGATCATTACAAGATTCCTCTTTGCGATTTGTAATGTTTCGCAATTAAATGTTCATACATGAACCATTAAATTTGTTTGGTGGTGTTTCTTCGTCTTTATAATATTTCTTATTTGATCATTTCATTTACTATGTCTAAAGTGAATGAGATTTAGATTTGTTTGATAATAATTTTTTTCTTTCTTTATATCCCCATTTTAATCAGTTACTCCAAAATGTTTGATCTAAAAGTGTTTAAACAATGAATGCGCAACAGAATAATCATTAACGAGTCTGCTATTGTAAAATGTTTTATAAATAAGCTTTATTCTTCCTTTCCTAACACGCAAAAATAAAAAATAAAAAACGAAAAATAAAGAAACTCCTTAATTACGAAAACTCATTAATTCTTTAATAATCTTCAAAAATCATGAATAAAAAATTTATCCTAATACTCGCTCTAATTGTAGCTTTTATCGCATTCGCTTCTGCTACACCTTCTATTTGGAAAAGAGATGATAATAGTAGAGTTAAAGAGAACTCCATAGATAAAAGACGACCGGAAGAAAAAGGAAGGACAAGTGGTCCACACCGTTTGACGAAAAGACAGTCGTGTTCGTCCCAAGGATTAGTTCCATGTGCAGTCGGATGCTGTCACCCCTATGGATGCGGTAGTTATGGTGTATCTTGCGGTGATGGTACTTGTTGCCCTTCGGGAACTTCTTGCACCACAAAGTCTTGCGCGTAAAATTTTCTTGTAGTTAATAACAAGATAGTATCAATTTATTTTAAGAAGCTTTTTGTTATTTTTATTTGTTTTTTTCTTTTTTTCTGTTATAAATATTTTTTTTATTGGCTGTTATAATACTTTTTCGCGTTATAGTCAGCTTCTTTATATTTAGATCAAAAAATAAACGCGTTTATATTTTATAAATTATTTTCAATAATGATTTTTGTCAACTTTAATTGATTAAATGTGTCGAAACGTAGTAGCAAATCAATAAACCAATCTTCAAAAAAAAAGATCCAATTTGAATGGTTTTTTAATTTGTCCATGTCAAAATACATTAATTCAGATTTGATATAAATGTTATAAAATTTAATAATTTATTCACCACATATGCGATCTTCCCAACAAATTTTCTTTCCACGTGACTTGTGTGGCGATCAGCCCCATTAATTTATTTACCGTTTTATGGGTTAGTTACTTCTATATGTAGTATAGTCTATCATTTAGTTAGTATAGCGTCTACTTGCGTCAACCGTTTTATGTACAACTACAACAAAATTTTCTTTCTTTTCTAATGTTAAAAACAATTTTTAAAAAATCTGTTAAAAAATATAAAACTAAATATTTGTGAAAACATAATAAAATAAGGAATTTTTATTGTCCAGACTATGTCAAATAGTGTCACATGACGATATCCCGGTACTATTATTTATACGTCAGATGCAGGCTGACGTGCGTCAGATATAGATATAATAAATTTTTTTTATTAAACAAAAGTATTAATAAATTTCAGGGAAATAACACGATTTAAGAAGATTATTCAAAAAAAGGAATAGTGGTGATTTTTATGGAAGGACGTTTTGCAGGTGATAAAATTTATAATTTCGTATCCAGAAATAGTCTGAAAAATAATCTAATCTAACAAGTAAGTATGTTTATTTGAATACGACTCATACTTCATCAGAAAATTTTGCAACCTTATGGATATAATATATATTTTATAAGTAATATATGTAATTTATTAGTAAAAAAAAGTTTACTATAGGAGGTAACGTACATTATCTATCTACATCTAACACATGTCAGCTGCACCTGATGTTATTAATGCACAACATACGTATTTTATTTATTTATTATTCCCAATATCTTGTATTCTTATTAAAATCTTGTTTTCAGTATAGTTCTACGATTTTCAAGTGCTATCCCTTAAACAGTAAGCAATTGCAGGCAAATTTGCCCGGAAAATTCAAAATCATAACTTTATGAAAAATAAAGTAATTTTAATAAACTTTTTTTCCATAATAGCTTAAATTATATATTATGCAGCAAACATTATTATTTGTTAATTTTATATTAGAAAATTGGAAATTATTCATTGATTTTAAAAAATTGTACCTTTAACAGTTTTATGCAGTTTAAGTTCAGTTTCAGTTTGGTTTCATTATACAAACTTGAAAACCTAATTTCTTATATCAGTTCAAACTGAAATTTAATCGAATGGTTTTGGCCTGAATTATGTTCGATATTGGCCAGCACTATGCTTAATTTTAGCCAAGATAAATATCGGGCTCCAAAACATTTAAATTTATTAAGTTTTATTTATAAAAAATAATATAAATTTCTTAATACAATAATATAGAATTGTTAAAATGATCAATAAACTAAAGTAATCTATACTTTTTGGTTGAATAAACTGATTTTAAACCAGTTTAAAAGTTAAGTTATATATTTAATTTAAACTGAATTTTAAACCATTGTTATAAAATCATTTTTACTTATTTCATTAATTTATATATTCCATTTTTCAAACTGAATTTTACAAAAACTTAGTTTAAACAGTTTAGTTTTTTTCAAATTTTGATAATTAGTTGTAATTATATCAAAACTTAATAAAATATGTAGAATTTATTATGAAAACCAATTTTTATTATTATGATTTTTAATGTTTAAAAGTAGGATTTTTGACTTTATATAGAGCTTTAATAAAAATCATTTTATGTTTGCATTATAAATTTATAAAAACTAATTTTTTTATCTTTATTTTATTTATTGTAATGTAAAATTTTTATAAAAAAAATAAAAGTTATATTAAACTATTTATAATAATAAAAAAATATTGTGAGTAAAATTTATAAAAATTTGATGCTAGCCATATAAATACTTCCTCATTATTTTAAGAATAATCGTCCTGAAGCCGAATTCCTGATTGCCGATCATCCGGATCCGGTTTAATTGCAGAAAATCAACTGGAATTCCATGACGATCTACGCCTGAGCCGAGTCCGGATCATTTGATTATACAATTTATTGTCAAAATGTAAATTAATTTAACTAGCTATACAATCTGATTTATATTAATAAATTTTATATCTGAGTACAATTTATTTTTAAAAATTGCAGGCAACCTATAAAACTATTTAAAAAATATTATTATTATTCATTTTTTTAAAATAATTAAAATTAGAACCAATATTTTTTAATTATAAATGCCCATTTTGGCTTATTATTGATTTTTTTAATGATTTTTTAATCTAAAAATTAATATTTATATTAATAAAAAATTAAAATTTACATTTTTTATATTATAATATAAAAAATTTTTATTCATAATCTCATTAAATTTACAGAATGATCATATGATACATAATTGTTTATTTTATTATTATATTACAATATATTGAAATTAATAAGTTACAATATAATTATTAAAATTAGTAATATAAGTAAACATAGTAAATATTAGTTATTAGTAACTATTAAATTATTGAGTTACTTTACATATTTTAATATTATAATTTATATCATTACATTATCTATAACTATAATTTCCTTTGATTTTCTTTATTTTTACCTTTCAACTGATGATTTTAAATGTTTACTAGATGGTTTACCTTTTTCTATATATTTAAAAGATTCTAAAATTTTGTTAATTGAATAAATTACATTATCAGAACTAAACAATATTTTTTTATTATTATTTACAATAATTATTTTTTTTTGCTTCTTATTTTCTATTGCTTATCTTCTTTTAGATTGATTATAAGGTTGATTATAATATGCTTTAGCATATTTATATATGATTTATAGAAAAAAATTATATAGTTAGTTAATGCAAATCCTAGTTAATTTTTAAAGCTATCACTAACTTTAAATTTCTATAAAATATATATCATTGATAAGATAAGTATATAGATAACCCTTAAATTAATTTTTGAAAAAATGTAATTTTAGTAAAAATTTTGGATTTAAAATATTTTTTATATAAAAAAAAAAGTAATTATATAATTTAATATATTTTAAATCAAAGAATTCAAATAATTTTGAATATAATTTCAACTATTAAGTAAATTAAATTGTTTATTATAAAAGATAATTTCAGATTTTAGATTTCAGTTTTATTATAAAAATCTCTATTTATAGCAGTATGTAGTAGTAATTATTATATCTAATAATATTGCCAAAATAATATAAAAACTACAGTCAAACCTTGATATAGTAAACCCTTGATATAGTGAATTTTTCAGACAACTATAATAAATTTCCCTTTGCTATAACAAATTAACCAATTAAATTTCTTAAAATCTTCACTATAACCTTATAGCGAAGTTGAAGTCTGGACCTTAGGGTTTGTTATAATAAAAGTTGACTGTATTTCAAAAAAATACTAAATAAAATATAATATATATATATTATAGGAAAAATGTATATTGTATATGTAATGAATATTATATCATTTCGGGTTTATATAATTGTATAATTTTATGATTTCAAATAGTCTGATTATCAATCAATTAAATAAATAATTTTCTCTTTGAAACGAAATTTTACAATATTTTGAGCTGAACTTATTTGATATCCACAAATATACCTATAAAATTTATTATTAGTAATTCTGCCTTTAAATCTCAAGATTCATTTCTTATAAAACAAACTAATGACAACACTACTTCTCATGTTTAGTATTTAATTCATATAGAATAAGATAATGATAATGCTAATGAAAATATTACATTATTAACTAAAACTAATTTGTATTTATTTATTTAAGTTTTTAGACCAGTTTTTTATATTAGTTAATATAATTAATTGTATTCTAAGTAGTTTTACTAGGTGCTGAATATATAAACTGCAGACCTAATTTTCTTAGATTACGCTTATGTTTTACAATTATTGAAGAAAACTATTTTCTGAATTTTGATATAGCTATTTACTTTTACACAGAATATAAAAGATTTTGTGGCTTTACTGTAAGAAAAAAATGAAGTGAAAAAGATTCTAATTGTAATTTGTAATATAAGTATTTTGATTGTAAATTTTCTGGCTTTAAATCAAAAAAAAAAATAACCATATCGATAAGTAAAATAAAAGAAGTAAAAAAATATTTCAATCAATATAAAATTAAATAGTTAAATTTAACTTAATTATGTTATTTTAAATTTAACTACTATGTTGTTTCAATATTATTTTAATATTATTTCAATATAGTTTTATATTATGTATTTCAATGTCATTTAACATTAAAATCAAAATGTTATTGAAATTATATTACTGCAATATTAAAATAATATCAGAATAATATTAAAATAATATATTTAAGTTAAATTTAAGTTTTAATATTGTTTTGATATTATTTTAATATCATTATGATATTATATTAAATGATATTAAAATACTTTACTAAAAATGGCAAATTTTTTGAAATATTTTTATAGACCTAGATACAATGGCTTTCAAAACAATTGTACAATTATTTTGTAAAATTTTTAAAATATATCAAAATATATTTAAAGTATTTTTGAAATTAAAATATTAAAATAATATTAAAGTTAATTATATTATAATAATAAAATAATAATAAAAGTATTAAAAAATTATTGTGATATTATTTTGAGTTATTTTTATAAACCTAGATACAATACAATTACAAAATAATAACAAAAGTATAATAAGTATTAAATGTATTTTAGTAGTATTTTAAAATTATTACAAAATCATTTCAAAAAATTGGCCATTTTTAGTAAAGTAATATTAAAATTATATTGAAATAATATTGAAATAATATTGAAATGATCTGTAAAGTACTATATATTAAATACAGTCAACCTTTGTTATAACGAACCCTAGGATCCAGATCTCAATTTTGCTATAAGACTATAGTGAAAATTTTAAGAGATTTAATTAGTTAATTCATTATAGCGAAGGGAAATTTATTATAATTGTCTGAAAAATTCACTATATTAAGGGTTCACTATATTAAGGTTTGACTGTATACTTAGATTTCATTATAATTAATTTTCTTTGAATTTTAAAATAATTTTTTTTTTATTTTTTTTTATTTAATATTTTTGGATTAAAAAAATTTTCAAATATAATAATTACAATTCGCAAAAGTTTTTCTTTCTTTACTATTTATTTGTTATTTTTAATTAATTTAATAATTATAATGGTAAGTTTTATTATAAAAAACTGCAAAAAAATTGAAAATTATAACTAAAAAAGGAATTATTTAATTTATTTATATTGATAAAAAACTGAATTACATTTTGAAATTATATTAATTATTCTAATTAACTATAACTTATAATAATTATTTCTTTTAAAGATATTATAATTCTTCTACTTTACATTTTCTCTTTATTTTAATATTTAGCTAATAATTTATTCTTTAGTTAATTATTTATTCTTTTTTACATATCATGTATATAATTATCATTATATAACATAATTATCTAATTATTCTATTTAAATAAAAAATTAGTTTTTCCATCTTACTATAATTAACTAAATATAACTAATAATAATAAATATAAAATATAGAATAAGTATTCTTATTATTAATTATATTCTAATGTTACATTTCTGATATTACAATGTAAATACTTTTTAAAATAACATTTTTTTTATTTAAAAATTTTTAATAATTCAAAAAATATGATATCCTTTACAGATTTTATTTCATTGGCCTAACGTAGTTAAATTTATAAATATAGTTTATTTATATGTTTATTAAAAATATTTTACTAAATATAATTTTAAATATGATATATATGATATATAAAAAAAGTTAATATATAAGTAATTTTAATCTTAATATATGATAGTAAATTTCAGATCTTTGCAATATTTATTACACTATCACAGATACTGTATGCATGTCACAGGCGCAGTAATCTATAGCGCATTACACACGAAGCACTTTGGCAATTACGTATTTAATGTCATCCATAGACAAACCCGTAATAGATGAACAGTATGATCATTATAGATCATTAAATCATGGTGATCTGGCGTCTCAAACTCTAGATGCCGATGACGTGAACAGAAGAAGCTCTCCGAAAAAGAATTGAGAGAGCTCGAAAGGTTTATGTCTCTTCAGTAGCATCAATGTGAATGCAAATATGGGTAGGTTATGATAGAAAGGGTTAAAACTTTTCACTATCTTTGTCAATGCTTCTCCAAAATCAAAGTAATAAAGTTGGTCTTCACCAGCAACAATCTTTGCGATTAGCATACGCACCCAAATTCCATGTGAAATATTATTTCGGAGAAATGGATTAGCGCTTCGGTAAGAAGAATTTATGAATGCGTAAAAAATATTTATGCAAATCCTACGTTGCACAGCCCCTATTATTACTTTTCCCGAATATGATCGGTTCATGACAGCGGATCATAGTTAGGGGAATAATTGTTTTTTCCTAATTATGCATGTTTGCTATCAGCCGTAATGCAAAATGACCATTTCGACTAACTCTACTTTTAAGTATCTCAGGGACGCAAAATATTTTCAACTCTTCCATATACTCTGATGCGTGTGTGGCATTCTTACATTCCGGACAATTAGCTTCAGAATCAGTCAGCTGATCGATTTCGTTGATGATAGCGTCGGGTTGTTTTGCTTGCTTTCTAGCTTTGGACTCTTCTGCCTGTTTATTCGACCTATAATATTCCTATTGATTAGGAAATGTTATATAAATATAATCAAGTTAAAAAGCTTACCATCGCAGAAATATACCGTAAGTAGTATATAGCTCCACCTCTCCAATAGGGCTTTTTAATGTTGATCTTGGAACTTTTTCGATACTAATAAATAGAAAAAATGTGTGAGCATTAGATACTGTAAAAAACCTCGTCCCAAAATTCGCTACATCTGTTATGTTTCTTATTTCCTTCAGAATTGCACGTTCCCCTCAACTGCAAGAATTTGCAGTTCTGAAACTGCTTTGCCTCTAGCAATCTCATCTCGTTGCAGGCGCTGTAACAATGAGCACATTTTAAATTTTTTCACAACAAATAAGTGTAAAAAATGATAGTAATACCTTGACAATGCGAATAAGCTTTAAGCTTTATTAATGTTTTTTCGTCAAATTCTGATTCTTGCTTGGTGAATCTCTTTATTATGTCCTTGTGCATGATCACAAATCCTCACCAAAACCTCCAACATTAACGGACAATGTTGTTTAGGCTTCAACAAGAGAACGTGTGATAAGGATCTATATAGTATTATTATATTTGCAATTAGTTCCACAGTAATCTAGTAGATGAAAAAAAATTGAAAGCATACAATATCTGTTGCGTGTGACTTTCGACAAATAGACCTTCTCCATTTGCTAGTTCCAGTGATTTTTCTTTAAATAGATGCCATTTTTCGGAAACATCGATGTCATTTAATATCCATCTGGACTCTTTTCGAGGTAAAGATACCAATTGCAAGTCCATTATCTGAAAATGAGTCTGATTCATGATTGTCACTAGATACGAGATCTAATTCTGACTGCGATGATAGTGGCGATGGGGTGGAATGTCTCGCTCTTGGACATCTGATTTATCTAAAAATGAGATAGAAAGACAAACGTGACAGAAGTTAATATGATTGTTGATGTTCAATTATCCATTGTTAAGGAGTTGTTTGTTAATATAGTCACCTTTTCGTTGACATTATGAGAATCACGGTGTCTGTTGTTTTTCTCTTCTTCATCCGCCAATGTGGCTGGACAGTTAAGTGGTGCATCTGAAAGAAATGAGTCAGATTCTTGGTCGCTAGATAAGAAATCTTCGAACCCCGAAGCAACTGTGGTGTTAGCTTTCTAGAATGTTCCGATGACATTTGTTCTTGACCACTTGATTTTATCTAAATAATGAGTCGGAAAGGCAAACATGACAATAAGTTATTTTAAAACAACCTATGCATACATTAAAGGGTTCGTGTGTCATTTGAGAGCACGTTTCATGCTTAAACATAATACCTCTGTTGGATACTCGAACTCGTCTCTACGTTGACGTTTGTATAAATGATCATCCTGTGCCTCTGAGGGTCTCGTAACTTTTTCTCGCACATGATCTGCCTCCTTTGATTCTGTGATAGAGTCGTTTCTTCGTAATTGACTAATAATTTCCGATTCTGTCGCTGATCCTGAAAAATTGTTGATAAGTCCATTGCGAAACTTGTTCTCAAAAATTTTTTTAAACTCACCTTTAAAACTTCTACTGTGTAGGCGGAAGTGACATTCACTCTCATTTCCGCGTGAAATTCAAGATCGTTAATAAATTTTCTCACTTCGACCGTGGATAAATATGTATCACTTTATTTCTTGCGTGAACGTGAACATTGCATTTTTTGCTATATCTCTGTATACTGCGTAAATCCTCTTTGGATTCCTTGAACATATCTACAGATAATTTTGGAAGTGCTAATTTTTATATTTCGACCAATCTTTATGACATGTATCAAGATATTCCCGTTATAATTGTTTTACGAATTGAGAAAATGTGAGCGCGTCTAAAATAAGCGAGTCACATGACCTGGTCAGCTGCGCCACATAACCTGCTTATTCACAGTAACCAAGCGGGACGGTCTTTTCTATATAATTATATTGTACATGAATTATAGTTTAGCTTCTCCTTCAAGATTGAGAGTTCTGTCTTTATAATAAAATAAAATTTTATTTACAGTCACGCTGTCGTTAGGCCACACCTTCCTGCAGTGTTGGGTTTTGGACTTGTCCAATTGGTTTTTTTAATTGGACAATTTTGGACTGTCCAAAACCAGTTTTGGACAGTTTAAAACTGCTCAAGAGTCCTAATATTTATCAACTGAAACTAAAAATAAAATAAAATATAATGTTAAAATATTAAAAAAGTAAATATTTAATATAAATTAAATAATAAAAATTAATGTAAAATCAAAATAATATTAAAAATTAACATTTAAAGATTTTTGAAATAATTTTAATAATTGAACTAAAATTAAAATTAGCCAAAATTAGTCATAATTCTGGCTAAAATTAAATTTTTTGTCATATGATCTGTCCAAAACCTGTCCAATGAAAAAAAGGTTTTGGTTTTGGACAAGTTTTGGACAGGTTTTGGACAAATGTCCAAAATGTCCAATTGTCCAATTGCCCAACACTGCCTTCCTGCGTTCGCCGGTACGATACTGCGCAAAGTTTCAAGAATTCGGCACGTGAAGATGCTTATATAAGATAAATTTTTTGATGCACTGCGCCAGACTTTTGCTGTGCCGTTGTATGTGACGAGATTCATGTGAGTAATTTCACTGCGTCTATTGTATGCGTCAGTGATTTTCTCGGCGATGATCAAAATGCCGATATATAACAAGAAGAGCAATATGTCCGTTTTATTTTGGAACATCTATAGCGGAAAATCGATTAAGTTCGTGATGACATGTTTCGAGAAGCTAGCCGAGCAATAAAACCAACATACCTTATAATACTTTACGGAATATACTCGTTTGTTTGATTGGAGATAATATCGATGATGTAAAATATGGTAAGTTTGAATTTTTCGCTTATTTTTTGTTTTTTATTTGCACAAGGCGGATAAATAGATTCACTAACTAGGATGTCTCTCCTTTACATAATTTACACAGGGTCTAGAATCAACAGGGCTTTTGAATACGTCTTTGTATGATCGGATGATCGACGATATAATAGTAATTACTTAAAAATGCGTTACCCCTCCTCCTATTCTATGTATCCCCAAAAAGGAAAAAAAATCGGAATAATTCTACGCGTCTCGTCCCGGAATGGAATTAGAATTTAGTGTATACACGTATTATTGAGTGCGCTAACCGCTAACGCAAACAGGATAATATATTTGTTCCGAATCATCATGATAGGCGAGCATGCGACATACAAATTCGGTGACGGTTTTTTTTTATTAAAATATATGCCAGAACTTTCGAGCAATGCTACAAAAAATGGCCATGTGTGATGTCATTATTGCGCAGAATTTTTTTTACCAGTTGCCCAAATCACATGACGAAATTTGCGAATGTCATATCACTTGTATAACACACAAACAGTTTAAAAAACGAAACAAAGCTATTTTTTCGTAAAGTAATACATGAGAAAAGTAAAAATGATAGAGAAGCAAGGAGGAATAAAGCATAAATGCCTGCCAAGCCCAACACATAAGATGGCAGTTCCTTCCCATTACCTAAACTAGCTACCCATGCATTTATCTGATTAACGGTGCTAACTAACACCATTATAAAAATTTTTCATGTTGAGATCTTAATATTTCCTCCAAGACTACGAATATCCACTGCTACCGAGAAACACATCTCATCAAAAGTATAATTCCTTGCCTTCATAAGCCGATCAAAGTGTTATTTAAAGTGAATTTTAATGTCTGAAGTAATATTTAAAATTCCAGATAAATTGGAACCTCCAGAAGAAGAGCTTGAATTAGTTGAAGCTGAGGCAGAGTCTAGCGAACTTCCCAATTCAGGTTCATTAGTTTCAGATTCATTGGACACACTTTCGGACAACTGCATTATGTTGGGCCAAATCATTTTGAAGAATTTCAATAGAAGTTTTATACAGAGGGTCAACAACTATAACAAAGAACTTAGCTTGTAAACACCCATTTTTATTAGTGTAATCTTTACATATATAAATATGTATAAATTGCTTTCATTGCTTTATATTTACAAACCATGCAAAAAAATACTGCCTCAATATAACAATATAAACACTTTTTTACAATTTTAAATGTAATTATTTTTTTTTCTTTTTTTTTGAAAATAAAAATACAGTTTTTATAAGTTATATCAATTATTTGTATAATATTGCTAATATCGGGAGCCACTGAGTGATTATACATGGGAGTTCAAGTCATACCGAAATATTACGGCACATTACACCAATTCGGCATTACACCGGGTGTAATACTATTTCATATGAATCTTCGAACAAAAATTTGGTGTAATACATTCCACCTTAATGCTTATTATCTGAAATAATTACGCCCACATGTATAGAGCCACTCAACAGAAATCCAAAAAAGATATCCCATATTCCTGAAAATTCAAAAATTTACTAATATCCCCGAAATTCATTATCCTGGGATCATAGGTTTTTGGATTGTGAATTTTTGGAAGGTTATGGTTGAGTCCAATCTTTTAACGCATAGGTTAGGGAGCTAGTTTATCTTTTATTTATCTTGTTACCCGAGTTTTTTTTTTAACCCACTTAATTAGGTAAAATCTTGTGTAATCTAACTTCATTGACTTCCTATTGTTCCAGTAAGGTGATACGGAAACTTTAAAAACAAGGTAACTTGCCGATAACCTGATTCCAAACAGGACTTTTGCGCCCAACTCATGATTTTTTCGGAGTTCAAAAAAAAGGACAGAAGGCATTGGGGAGAACCGTCAGTGAAACTATATCTGTGTAGTTTGTGGAATATATCCTGAAAAATTTCCAGTCACTGAGAATAAGAAGAGATTAGTCACATCTGCCTAACCTGCTGAAAAGTAATCCATAAAGGAATTGAACGCGCACAGCGGATTCTCCGCGAATTATGGGCGCGAGCTATCCTAGTTCCCCATGCATGGAAGTGTCTTTCTCTATAAAAAAAAGGCAACAATGGTTTAATAAAATTTTAGTGTTACTTATAAATTTTTAATGAAAAAATTTAAAAACTGAAATTAGTAAGGTTTCTTACTGTACAACTATAATTAAGAAAGAACTTTATATATATATAATTTTTAAGTTTAGATGTTTTAACAAAGATGATCAAGTTGCTTATCAATTAGTATTGTTCGTGACCCATAATTAACGAACCAAAAAGAATTTTAAATTTATATAAAGACATTCATTTTCATGAATTATGTATGCAATTTACACTGAATTATAATGGGAGAATATTTAAAAGAAACTTCAGTATTCCAGACATATATCGTTGGGATTATCATTTTGATAATTTTTTATATAATAAAACGTCCTCGTATTGCTGCAGTAAGTAAGACTGACTTAAAAACTGTTTCTGCCGGATAATTTAATGGCTTTTCATTTTTTAGTTTCTTTTAAATCTTAATTAATTTTAGAACGAACCACCGCTTGTGCCTTATACAATTCCAATTCTCGGACATACGTATAATTACTTATTTAACACACAAAAATTCTTGAAAGAATGTAAGGAACAGGTGATTATTAAATATTCTAATTCTTTCTTTTTTGAAAAAAAAAAAAATTAACGAAATTTATGTGCATTCAATTATTAGTATGGTGAATGCTTTTCAGTTTATGTATTCGGATATGTGGTGACGGTTGTTTCGAGAGATTCATTGAGTGAAGTGTTAATAAATCGGGAAGTCTTTGAATTGGATATATTCGAGGTAATTGAGGAAAATGAGACCAGTCATAAAAATTGTTTAATTTTGAACTTTTTTTTTTATTGTAGATTCTTCCTTTCAATATGATCTTTGAAAATGTTGGTGATTTTGGAAAAGTAGCTCATATTAATGCCAAGCTCGCTAGAGAAAAAATCTCTGCTAAGATAGAAGTTTGCACTCCAGTAATACGAAAATATATCGTGGAAGGAATTGATAAATGGATTGGAGATTGTAAAGGTAAAAAAAATATCAGTCTTTATTTCTCAAAATTCATTTTTTTACTATCTATTTGCTTTTCAATATTGATTCTATATTTATTAATTTTTAGAACCAAAAGAATTTCGTAGTATTTGGTCACTAACAAATAATATAATCGCTTTACCAGTGGCTAATATAATGGTTGGAGAGGTAATTCACGTTATATATCATTGTTGAGTTAATATATATTTGATTTTTGAGAATTTTTTTGTACGTTAGGAAGCTGCATCTCATGAAGATGTGACAAAGTCATTGGGAGACTTTGCTTTCGATATAGGTCCATTAGGAGCAATTCCGCCAGTTTTTTCTTTTATCCATCCGAAACTTCACGAATTCGTTATCACGTGAGTTCATAATTACTATGTCATTTTATTATTTATTCTTACTATAATTTTTTTGATTAGCTTGCCTTTGAGATTTGGGTGGAATCCAGTTGCACGTCATCGAAAAATTATAATCAATCAAATAAAACCGGTAATCGAAAAACGTATCAAAGAGAAAAAAACGCTTGGAAAAGATTATAAACCTTATGTAATTAAAGATGAAGTTTCTTTTTTCATATACTATTTATTCCTCTTTTTTTAAAAAAAATATTTATTTTATGAATCATATTAGTTTGATGCACTTGAATACTATATGAGTCAACCGGATTTCGATTACTCAAAATTACATTATTACGTTGACGCCTTATTTGTACTAACTTTTGGCGCCATCGGAACAACGAGCGGTGCAGTTACAAATGGATTATTTGGTAATTCTTGTGATGAATGGGAACAAGTGTTTATTCCGTTATTATGTATAACTATGTATAAATATTATTTATTAACTTAGATATGGCGGGAAGACCAGACTGCTTTAATGAATTATATGAAGAAGCAATGATGATTGACAAAGAATGCAATGGTTCGATTGGTTTTGCTGATGTTCAAAAAATGAAGAAACTAGATAGTTTCGTCAAAGAAGTGCTTAGGCATTCGGATGATACACGTATGGATTATTTTGTTTCTGTTCCTAAATATTTGTAATAAAAATATTTTACTTATTTCAATATAATGCAATTTAGTGAAGCGTCTTCATAAAGTTATATCAGAAAGTTATACGTTTTCCAACGGCTATACAGTTCCAAAAGGTGAGTAATTAATAATAGTTTTACCAAAATAAACAATTTCTTAACTTTTTTTGTATATAGGACGTAGAATAAATTTGTATGTGAATGATGCATTAAAATCAAAAGATTTTTATGGTGATGATGCTGATGAATTTAAACCATTTCGATTTGTAAATGAAAATTCTCCTGCAACAAAAGTTGATCGTAATTATGTTGTTTTTGGTGGAGGAAAACATGCATGTCCCGGGTAAATTATATTTTATATTTAAATGGGCTTTAAAAAAAATTATATATACTATCGCTTACTCCATTACAATCTTATTTTATTTCTTATAGTCGATTTTTTGCTATTCATGAGGCAAAAATTATATTTCATAAATTAATCTTGAGATACAATATTAAAACAAAGAGTGGTAAGATTGAAAATAAGACATACCTTGGTCCAAGCACATTACCTCCTAGGGGTTCTTTAATTTTTGAAAACAGAAAATAATGGGAAATACTTAAAAATTCTTTTAACTTATCTACTTCAGTTTTATCTATTCAAAAAATTCAAAATTTATTTACGACAATATGTTTAATAATTTTTTTTTCGTAATGATTATTTAATCACATATGATAGTAATGCGATAAAAGATAGCTTAATATCAAATTTTTTTTTTTTTTTTTTTTTACACAGTTTACACAGATTACACGCACGGAAATTTATTAAAATGCTTATAGTAAACTAGATCCATTAGACAGCTTCATTAAATATGCATAAATAGAAATAGACCTTCGCTATGCTCCGGACCAATTCTTATTGGTCACCGTAATTTATTATGTAATTACTTGAAATAAGTAAATATTTGCTTATCTTTTATTCTTCTGTCTAAGGCAAAAAATATTTGGGGATAAATATGTTACATTGCGTGTCGGTCGGAACCAATAAAATATATAAAATGTTAATTGTAGCACACGTTAACGGGGATCTCATAAACTATAATGCCGAATTACTTATATTAAAACCCTAATAAATTTTATTATAAATATTCCAATTTTTAACACATTATCTATAATTTCCATTTTTAAACACATTATCTTACAAGAAAGTTAATTTTAACATTATCTTACAAAAAGGCTAATTTACAGGAAAAAAAAGACTGACACGATGATTGAATTTTCAGCGTTTCAAATATTCGTTATTTTTATGATAATTCTTTATATCATAAGACGTCCTCGTATAGGCAAAGTAAGCAAATTCGGTTGTAATCATAAATTAATTTTGTAAACTTTGCTTACCTTATTTTATAGAACGAACCTCCGCTTGTACCTTATTCAATTCCAATTCTTGGGCATACATATAATTATTTATTTAACACAAAAAAATTCTTTAAAGAATGTAAAGAACAGGTAATAAATAATATCTTAATCTTTTTTCTTTGAAAAACAAAAACAAATTTTTTAACATTTACGTGTATCCATTAATTAGTATGGTGAATGTTTTTCAATTTATGTATTCGGACAAGTTATGACAATTCTTTCAAGAGATTCATTGATTGAAGTGTTTAGAAATCCTGATGACTTTGATTTAATATCAGCAGCAAATGAGGTAATTATCTTAAAATGAACACAACATCTATGATTTTTAGCGCAATTGAAAAAGTATTATAATATAATATTTTTTGTATATACAGTAATGACATTTTGCGTCTATACTCATTAAAAATTATATTTGTTATTTTTTTTTTTTAATAGGTTCTTCCTTTACAACATCTTCTTGTTTATAATGGCGGTACAAACAGAGAAAGTGTCAAATTTCATGCTAAAACTGCAAGAGAACAAGTTTCTGGTAAACTCGATTTAAATATTGGCGTCGTACAAAAATATCTCTTAAAAGGAATGGAAAAATGGATCGGAGATTGTAATGGTATGCTCAATGATATATATAATCAGTTAGAGTTTGAATAATTGGATCCTTTCAGATAAATCTGGATTATCCGGATAATTCAAGATTGGTATCCATTCTCGGATATCTATTAGATATCGTATAACGGATCCAAATTTCATAATCGATATCACACCAATCAGCATTTGCCATCACAGTATTATATTATTTATTCTTATATTTATTGAATATTAGATCCCAAGACAATTTATAACGCTTGGAATATGGTTAATGGCATCATCTCTTTACCAATTGCAAACATACTTGTTGGAGAAGTCAGTAATTATATAAGATCGATTTATAAATTATGTAAATTATTCTTTAAGAGTAAAACCTTAATATACATTAGGAAGCGGCATCTCATGAGGATTTAGTGAAGTCATTTGAAAACTTGGCTTTTGATCTGGGTCCATTATTAATAATTCCACCAATTTTATCTTTCATTCACCCGAAACTACACGAATTCGTAATTACGTGAGCATGTTTGCTTTTACCATGCAGGTATTTATATACATAGAAAGTTATCTGATAACTTATAGTAATATTATTTATTAGTTTACCTATGAAATTTGGATGGAATCCAGTATCACGTCATCGAGAAGTGGTAATGAATCGTGTAAAACCAGTAATTGAAAAACGTTTAAAAGAAAAAAATGTGCTTGGTGATAATTATAAACCTTATGTAAGTAAAATTATTGTTTGAAAATTATTATTATATCAATTAATTCGTATCCGTAACGTCCATACTAGAATGATATATTGGAATATTATATGAATCAACCGGACTTTGATCATACAAAACCCAATAATCTTCCTTATCATGTTGACAACTTATTTGTTATGACTTTTGTCTCAATTAACACAACAAGTAGAGCAGCAGTTGACGCATTATATGGTAAGCATACAATTTTTATAAAAGAAATTTATTTGTAAAGTTTTATTTATTTTATTTTATATTATTTTAGATTTGGCAGGAAGACCAGAAGTATTAAATGAATTATATGAAGAAGCATTGACAATTGATAAAGAATGTAATGGATTAGTAACTTTGACCGATGTTCAAAAAATGGTAAAACTAGATAGTTTCGTTAAGGAATCATTAAGACACGCTGGTAACATAAGTAAGCATAATCTTAATTCTCCATACATATTAAATTATAATTATAATTGTAATTGAAATAATACATATTTTACATTCAGTTAATTTAGCTCACTACATGATATCAAAAAGTTTTACTTTTTCTAATGGTTTTACAATTCCAAAAGGTAAAGTTGTTTTTATATTTTTATATTTTAAAATTATTATTACCATCTAATTTCTTTTGTGAATAGGGCGCAAGACAATTTTGTATTTTGATGATGCGTTAAAATCAAAAGAATATTATGGTAATGATGCTGAAGAATTTAAACCATTTCAATTTGTAAATGCAAATTCTCCTGCGACAAAAGTTGATCGTTCTTATATTATTTTCGGTGGTGGCAAACACGCGTGTCCTGGGTATTTATTTTTATGAACAAAATATTTTTATCCAAATTTTGCCTATAACTAACAATCTTTTTTTTTTATCAGTCGATTTTTTGCAGTTAATGAAACAAAATTGTTTTTACATAAGTTTATTTTGAAGTACAAAGTTTCAACAAAAAGTGGAAAAATTGAAGAAAAATTATTAATTGGACCATATACAATACCTTCTCGAAGTGGCTTAGTTTTTGAAAATAAAGTAAAAAATAAATAAAATAGTAGTGTTGCTATAGGATATAGATAGAGTGTCGGTTTGAAATATAAAATTATTTAAATAGAAAAGAAAAAATATAAGAACAAAATAAATTAAGCAACCAATAAAAAGTGACACGATGCTGGCGTCTGTATTTTCTGTAAATTATTAACAATGGAAGTATCTTTTATGTTAAATAATTAATATACTAGAATTTTGTGTCGATTATTTTATCTGAGTTAAATTGAGAGAAAAAACAATTACAGTCCCCGACGAAATAATGTTGGTCTTAAGTCTTAACCCACCATTATTCTGATTGAGTCATATTTAACTGCAACAATGGAACACTAATAATAAATTAAAAAAAGTAATTTTAATTACTGTCGTTATCTTTATTCTACTTCTAAATGGCATCTATCACTATTAGATACACTAATTATGAAGTTGTTAACTTTTTGTAACATTGAATGAGAATTGTAAACAGTTAGCAGGTATATACATATAGGGGGCAGTGACACGGGATATTGTCAAACTTCAGACCTCAGGTCACATGATTTATCATGCGGCAAAAATATGAAAAATAACATTAATAATATCTTTGCTTTTCATTACCAACTAACCTTAGAAAATTCCCTTCAATTAAAGTAAAATATTACAATGTGACTAAGCAAATATAATTTTTTCGATAAATCATAAAAAAATCAAAACCACATCATATATTACATAGAAGTTAGAGACGAGAATAAAATGATTAACTATCTAAACTGTTCCGATCCTATTCTTAAAGAGTCATCTGGATTCAATTACCAAATAATTACCTAGATTATAAGAAGTGGTGTTCTTGGAAGTTTCTGATGACATTTTATTGGAATTGGAAGTTCTATTGGAAAGAATTTGAATTATTGGATCTGGAAATTGACGTAGGTTATTTGATTTTCCAATGTAGTTATATTCATGATTAAATGTAAGAGGAAGAGATATTAAGAAAAAATTTGAATAGTAGCCTGAAAGGTGATCTTTTAAATGAGTACACACATCCAGCAATAGCAAAATGAGAGCTTAAAAGTTTTAATAAAATGTCGAGTATTGCTAAATATCACCGCTGGTGATTATTCACTTTACTAAAATTAGTGTTAAACTCTGCCCGTTAATATTTGCTAAATACCGGAATCACCTGCGGTGAGATTTATCAATGCCAAATTTTTTTATATAATTAATTATTATTGGACGAAATTTTTCACATGATAAAGGTGTTTCCAAGCTTCCAATAAAAATCTACTAGAATTGGAATAGGCATTGGAATTGGAAGATGAAAGTGCTTCCGATCTTCCAGTGAATATCACTTTTGAATCTAAAACTTCTTTTATAATGTTTGAAGTGACTTGCGGATTCCCGTAACCCGATTCTGGCAAATCATAATCCTGAAAATTCAAAATCTTGACACTTATTATCCCGACACTTATTATCTTTTTCAGTTTTTGATAGACGTAATAATTTTGTAATACTTTGTAGCGATTAATACTGTACTTCTAAGTATTTCGAAAAAAATTTATGCTTTTTACTACTAATCGTCACATGACATTAAATATTTTCATTAATATGTAAAGATTTTTAAAATAATTCTCGAAAATTAATATTTGATAATTTTAATAATACTTTGCCAAATTAATAAGTAATTATTAATTATTAAAAAGTTTTTATTTTGTAGAAAAAATAATTTTTTTTAAAAATTTTACTTTATATTAAATAAAAATGTAAGTCTTTGCATATTTAATATACCGATTAATATTTTAATGTACCGTTATTAAAATTTTTGTATTCATGTTGCTATTATAATAGTCAAGAGATAATAAGTGTCGGAATTAATGAGTGTCGGGAGTCGGGACTCGGGATAATGAATGTCGGAAACAATGGATTTTGAATTTTCGGGATTATGATTTGTCGGAATTATGAGTATCGAGTTTGTATTATACGAGATTCTGATCGCGTAGTAAATTCAGCTCTCTCAATCCTTTTTGAGAAAATTTAATATAAGAAATAGTAATACGAAAAAAAATCATTTCTTTATTTGTGAGATAGTGAAATTATTTTAAAAATAATGCGACAATTAATAGTGTAATTTATAGCGTTAATAAATGCAAAGTCAAATTTAGAAACACAGTGATATAAAAAGCATTATAATCAATATATCATATTTTATTATAAAAATCCGTACATAGATTAAAAAAAAACTAACCGCATTGGTTTCGCCGGAGACTGTAAAAATGAAAAGGAAAAAAAAAATTCCGAGGTCCAATCGAACTTAAAAGAAAACTGAATTTGGGTAATTCGGAATTACGGCTATTCGGTTCAAATATATTACCGTCATAATGCTGAAAACAGTACACTCCTTCCCCATAAAAATGAAATGTGTTATATTTGTGTTCATGTGTAAAAAACGTCCAAAAAAGCACCATTTTGTCCGATTTATGACTTATTACAAAAAAACAAAAATTAAACAAAATGGTGCTTTTTTAGATATTTATTACACGAGCACAAATATTAAACAAATTTAACTCATTTCGTTTTTATAGGGCTTGTTCATTAAATAAAATTTAGGAGGTTATGAACTGTCATAATACCGAAAACAGTACACTCCATGTTTATTAAATAAAATTTAGGAGATTATGAACTAATTTGATGTGCATTGGAAATTTCCAAGGAATTAGATGATGCACATCACTTCTCTTGGTATTGAAATGTGTAAAAAAAAATTGTACTGGTTTCGCAAGTTTGTTATAGGTTGTATAAGAAATAAATAACATACTCTATTCTCAATATAAGAAACAAAGGAATTACTATATTGCCGAATTACTCATAAACTTCCGTAAATTTTGTTATAAAAATGGAGGGTTGATTACTTTTTTTTTAAAAGAACTTTCATTTTCAATTAATATTATCTTACAAGAAATCTAATTTTCATTTTTTAACACATTATCTTACAAAAAGCTAGTTTCCATTTTTCAACACATTATCTTACAAAAAAAGACTTACACAATGATTGAAGTTTCAATGTTTCAATTATTCGTTATTTTTGTGATAATTCTTTATATCGTAAGACGTCCTCGTATAGGCAAAGTAAGTAAAAATGAATTCATAATTGGATTGATTTTGTAAACTTTGCTTACCTTACTTTATTTTATAGAACGAACCTCCACTTGTGCCTTATACGATTCCAATTCTCGGACATACGTATGATTATTTATTTAACACAAAAAAATTCATTAAAGAATGTAAAGAACAGGTAATCATTAAACATTTTAACTTTTTTTTTTTAAAAAAAAAAGTTCTTTAACATATACGTATATCCGTTTATTAGTATGGTGATTGTTTTTCAATTTATATATTTGGAGAAGTGATGACAATTCTTTCAAGAGATACATTGACTGAAGTGTTCAGAAATCCTGATAACTTTGATATGATATCAGCAACGAAGGAGGTAATTATCTTAAAATATTGTGTACTATAAACATACCTCATCAAATTAAACCGAAATTAATATATAAACTTTTTTTAATAGACTTTTCCTTTAGACCAACTTCTCCCTTATAGTGATGATAAACCCGAATTTCATGCCAGAACTGCAAGAGAACAAGTTTCTGGCAAACTTGATATAAATATTGGCATCGTACAAAAATACCTCATAAAAGGAATAGAAAATTCGATCGGAGATTGTAATGGTATGATACCTACCACATTTGTCTTCACCGCAATATTCTATCATTCATTCTTTTATTTATTGAATTTTAGAACCCAAGGTAGTTTATAACGCTTGGAATTTGATTAATTACATCATCGCTTTACCAATTGCGAACGTTCTTGTTGGAGAAGTCAGTAATTATATAAGATCAATTTATAAATATGTAAATTATTATTCTTTAAGACTTATGAGTAAAACATTAATATACATTAGGAAGCGGCATCTCATGAAGATTTAGTGAAGGCATTAGGAGACTTGGCTTTTGATCTGGGTCCATTGTTGGTAATTCCACCGATTTTATTTTTCATTCATAAGAAACTACACGAATTCGTACTCACGTGAGCATGTTTTATATTTATTGTTATTTACTGATATTTATATTAAAAAAGTAATCCGATAACTGATAGTAATATTATTTATTAGTATACCCTTTAAATTTGGATGGAGTCCGGTATCACGTCATCGAGACATTGTAGTAAATCGTTTAAGACCAGTAGTTGAAAAACGTTTAAAAGAAAGAAAGGAGCTTGGTGATAATTATAAACCTTATGTAAGTAAAACTATTGTTTGAAATTTGAAAATTACTATAATTAACCCGTGCCTTAATGTTTATACTAGAATGATTTATTGGATTATTATATGAGTCGACCGAATTTTGATAATACAAAACCTAATAATCTTCATTTTCATGTTGATAACCTATTTTCTATTTCTTTTGCCGCAATCAACACAACAAGTAGAGCAGCAGTTGACGCATTATATGGTAATCATATAATTTTAAGATAATATTCATCATGTAAAGTTCTATTTATTTAATTTTATATTACTTTAGATATGGCTGGAAGACCAGAAGTATTAAATGAATTATATGAAGAAGCATTGGCATTTGATAAAGAATGTAATGGATCAGTAACTTTGGCTGATGTTCAAAATATGGTGAAATTAGATAGTTTAGTTAAGGAATCATTGAGACACGCTGGTAACATAAGTAAGCATAATCTTAATTCTCCATACATATTAAATTATAATTATGATATTAAAATAATATTTATTTTACATTCAGTTAATTTGGGTCATCACATGATATCGAAAAGTTACACTTTCTCTAATGGTTTTACAATCCCAGAAGGTAAATTAATAAAAATCATTTATATTTTAATAATGTGTATTTATTATTAACATCTAATCTTTTTTTTTTTTTTGTATATAGGACGTAAGATTAGTTTGTATTCTGATGATATGTTAAAAGCAAAAGAAAATTTTGGTGATGATGCTGAAGAATTTAAACCATTCCGATTTGTAAATGCAAAATCTCCTGCGACAAAAGTTGATCGTTCTTATATTGTCTTCGGTGGCGGTAGACATGCGTGTCCTGGGTATTTATTTTTATGAACAAAATATTTTATCTGCAAATTTTTGTCTATAATTAACAAAGCCTTTCTTTTTTTATTAGTCGATTTTTTGCAATTAATGAAACAAAATTGTTTTTACATAAGGTTATTTTGAATTACAAAATTTCAACAAAAAGTGGAAAAATTGAAGATAAAATATTTATTGGACCATTAACATCACCTTCTCAAAGTGGCTTAGTTTTTGAAAATAGAGTAAAAAATAATTAAATGGTATTCCTTTGGAACAGTGTTGTCATAGGATACGGATAGAGTGCCAGTTTGAAATATAAAATTATTCTAAATAGAAAAGATTATATAAACAACCAATAAGAAGTGACATGGTTGTATTTTTTTGTAATAATTTATGTAAAACAACCCTATCATAGGGCAATAAATTTGTGTCGATTATTTTATTCGAGTTATAAACAAAATATAGTTTATCTACCAGAGTCATATAAAAATGCAAATCAAAGTTTACAGTCCCCGGCGAAATAATGCCGTTTAAAACCCATCACTCGATAAATGACCATTTTTCTAAATTTTCTAGTTTTTTATTCCGAAGAAACTCAGACACGTGATCATTTTTCTGAAAATTTTTTAATTAGATCATTATTTATTATATTTGACTGCACAATGGAACGCTGTAATTTTTTTTAAAAAAACTATCACTATTAGATTATGATAATCCATTTCAATATATCAAGTCTTATGTTCCGTTATATCAAGGTTCCTTCACCACCAACTAACCTTAAAAAATTTCCTTCAATTAAAGTAAAATAATTACATAATAAATATGTATTATCATATATACCATATATATGATTGACCAAAGAATATGCAACTAAATTTCTTTACATTAAAATACACGCAATCCGATGATCTAACTACGGAAAAAATTACTACACTGCATTGGCGACGCATCGGAATAAAGACCAGATCAGGGCAGATCGTACCGCATTAATTTCCTATAAGCAGTATATCCCCTTTTTACAGAAATGCAATATTTACTTTAAAGTCACAAAAATAAACACCTTTTTCTTGTACGTAATGCCAGCCGAGCTCATCATAATGTACTATATAAATCTGGTAGGGGAGCTGCGTTTATATTGCAAATAATTTTCTGGATTGTTGACAAGCAGTAATGTTCTTGGAAGTTTCCAATGACATTTTATTGGAAATAGAAGTTCCATTACCGATACATATTTTAGGAGGCTGGAGGTTATATCCGGAGTATATTATGTGGAAGAATACAGCATGGGTATTGTGCTTAGGGGGGTACAGGAATTTATATTGCGTAATTTATTTTACAATACAGTTCCTAGCATTATACCCGGGTATTTTACAAATTTTGAAGGTTAAAAATCGAATATCTCCATGCAAATATCTGGGTACTTTAAAAAACCAAAAAAATTTTCATGTGGGTACTGTGCATAGGGGGGGCCGGGGTACTGTGGCCTGCAAAATACGGTACATTCTTTATCAAATGTCAATGGCTTCTTCATATAATTTATTTAACAATTCTGGTCTTCCTTAATCAAAAGTAATACTAGGAAACGGGAACCGTTGTAAGTCCGGGACGAAAACTAAAATTTGTTGAGTGACGATCACGTGGCGGACAGGAAATTCACATGATCGATTTTTTTTCATAGTGCGTAAACATATTTTGTCCTTCGCTTCGCTCCGGACAATAAAACTTTACATCATCTTTAAAATTATATGATTACCATATAATGCATCAACTGCTGCTCTACTTATTGTGTTGATTGAAGAAAAAGTGATAAAAAAGTAGGTTATCAACATGATAAAAAAGACTATTGGGTTTTGTATTATCAAAATTCGGTCGATTCATATAATGTTCCAATAAATCAATAAAACATTATAAACACGGGTTATAATTTTCAAATTTTCAAGCAATAATTTTACTTCCATAAGGTTTATAATTATCACCAAGCTCATTTCATTCTTTTAAACGTTTTTCAACTACTGGTCTTAAACGATTTATTATAATGTTTGATGGATTCCATCCAAATTTAAAGGGTAAATTAATAAATAATATTACTGTCAGTTATCAGACTACTTTTTTAATATAAATATCGGTAAATGTAAAACATGTTCACGTGAGTACGAATTCGAATAGTTTCTTATGAATGAAAAATAAAATCGGCGGAATTACCAATAATGGACCCAGATCAAAAACCAAGTTTCCTAACGATTTCACTAAATCTTCATGGGATGCCGCTTCCTAATGTATATTAATGTTTTACTCATAATAAGTCTTTAAGAATTATAATTTACATATTTATAAATTGATCTGATATAATTACTAACTTCTCACTTGGGTCCTAACATTCAATAAATGATAGAATACTGCGGTAAAGTAGACCATTACATTTTTGTACGACACCAATATATATAGAATTTACAAGAAATTTGTTCTCTTGCAGTTTAGCATGAAATTTGGCGTTATCACCACTATAAGTAAGAAGTCGTTCTAAAGGGAAAGTCTATTAAAAAAATGTTTATATATTAATTTCGCTGATATCATATCAATGAATCTCTTGAAAGAATTGTCATCACATGTCCGAATACATAAATTGAAAAACAATCACCATACTAATAAATGGATATACGTACTAAATGTTAAAAGGCTCACTTTTATTTCAAAAAGAAAGTTAAAATTAAAGATTACCTGTTCTTTACATTCTTTAATGAATTTTTTTTATCATATGTATGTCCGAGAATTGGAATCGTATAATGTACAAGTGGAGGTTCGTTCTATAGAATAAGCTACAATTCCGAATTCAGGACGTCTTATGGTATAACAGATAAAGAATTATCATAAAAATAAATATTTGAAACAATCATTGTGTAAGCCTTTTCTTTGTAAGATAATGTGAAATCAACTGTCTTGTAAGATAATGTGTTAAAATGGAAACTAGCTTTCTTGTAAGATAATGTACTAAAAATGAAAATGCTTATAAAAAAAGTCCTTTATGGAAATTTATGGCGATCCTTTGTTTCTTATTCTTATAAACAAGCTGCGTGACTACTTTGGAAATAAAAAAATACGCCAATGTGATTCCTAATCAAGTGATTTGTAATATGGTAGATGGTAGGGCAGTACTAGTTTCTGAGGGAGGCAAAGAAGAAGTATCATTTAAAGATAGCTTTACAACTTATAATTTCAAAATTTGCGAAACCAGTACAATTTTTTTTTTTTTACATGTTTAATACCAAGAGCAGTGTAGATTTACTTCCAATTTCAATAAACAAATTTTTTTGAAGTTTACACTATAATCTCCTAAAACCTTTAGAAATTTTTTTTTTTTGTCCTTTTTCTTTTTTACAGTCTCCGACGACGGTTAGTTTTTCTAATCTATGTACGGATTTTATTATCAGTTATTTTCATAAGTTCATGCAGATTTTACATAATTGTTATTTAGGTCGTTACTATATATTAGCATAATAATAAAATTATTGGATAGTAATGGGAGTTTATTATAAAAATTGCATGAACGGTCCCGTCAAACCGATAATAATAATATTATTGGTGGGCATTTTATTGAATTTAATAATGTAAACAACTTTTACTAAATACAGTCAGCACGAAGTAGTCAAGGATTGCATTGAATTTTGCAAAGGAAGACTTGTTTTATCAATTATGTGAAATTATTCTTTAAGAGTAATTAACAATAAATATAAATATACATAAAGAAGCGGTATTTCATGAAGGTTCAGTGGAAACTTTGCTTTTGATCTGGGTCTAATATTAATAATTCCACCAATTTTGTCTTTCATTCAAACTACTGTACACGCACGAAACCGCAATTACGTAAGTAGGCTACTTTTGTTGTCGTTGCCAATATTTATAATTATAAAAAAAACTTATCTGATAACTATCACCAATTATCTCTTAGTTTACCTATGAAATTTGGATGGTCACATTAAGTAATTAAAAAACATTTAAGGAAAAAATAATCTTATAAATCATCCCGACACTTATTATCCCGACACTTATTATATTATTTTTTTTTGAAATTTACATTATTGACGTAATAATAATGTTTTAATTGTAAAAATTAATGGTTTTTTTTTAAAATTAGTAACTATTACAATAGGACTATTATGCACATGTACCAATAGTTATGCTTATTGAATTTACACACAATTTTATATTACTTAATGTATAAAATTAATATTTTTATTAATATTTAGTGAGCAAAAAATTCATATATGATTTCGGCGCAAATTAAACCCATTAGTACTCTGACATATTTAATACATAATATTTATCCCAAAGTTTCAAATAATTTGTTTTTTAAAATAAATTTCTTTCATTTGACGCCACGCATTTAGCAGTTGTGGGATCACGAATTAATTTTTATTTTTAGAAAAAATAAAATTTTGTTTTATATCATATTTTTTTTGCATCATAGAGATATATATAATTTCATCCACACATATATATATATTTAAAATATTTGAATATAATAAAAATAACATAGTAGTCAAGAGGATAATAAGAAAGAAAAAAAAAAAATATCGTATCTTAATATAAAATCCGTGCACAATATTAGAAAAACTGACCTCCCACTGGTTTCAGTGGAGAAAAAGGCAAAATCCGAGGTTGACTGGATTTGGTAATTCGGGATTGCGGCACTACTATTAACACCGGCTATTCGGTTCAAATATATTCCCGTCAAGATGCCGATTTTCCGAAACGATACACCTCGTGAATAGAAGTGCATTGGAAACTTCCAAAAATTTGGACGTAAATATTGATGCACATCACACCGCTTTTGGCATTGAAAAAATCAAAAATTTTGTTAAATATTCAAGACAAAGGATCTACTATAACGCCGGATTGACTTCTATAAAAATGTAGTTTTAATCACTTTTTTTTTTATAAACTTTTCATTTTTTTTAACACATTATCTTACAAGAAAGCCAATTTCATTTTAACGCATTATCTTACAAGAAAGATAATTTCCACTTTTTAACACATTAATCTTACAAGACAGCTGTTGATTTCCATTTTAATATATTATCTTACAAAAAAAAAAAGACTTACACAATGATTGAAGTTTCTAGTACATTTCAATTATTCGTTGTTTTTATGATAATTCTTTATATCATAAAACGTCCTCGTATAGGCAAAGTAAGTAATGAATTCGTAATTGTATCAAATTAATTTTGTAAACTTTTCTTACCTTACTTTATTTTATAGAACGAACCTCCATTTGTACCTTATACGATTCCAATTCTCGGACATACGTATGATTATTTATTTAACACAAAAAAATTCTTGAAAGAATGTAAAGAAAAGGTAATCATTAAACATTTTAACTCTTCTTTTGAAAAAAATGAGTTTTTTAACATATATTATATCCGTTTATTAGTACGGTGACTGTTTTTCAATTTATATATTCGGAGAAGTGGTGACAATTCTTTCAAGAGATTCATTGACTGAAGTGTTTAGAAATCATAATGACTTTGATATGTCGTCAGCAACAAGAGAGGTAATTACCTTAAAATATTGTGTAACATGCCTCACTTGAAATTAATCTTTTTTTTTTAATAGACTTTTCCTTTAAACCGACTTCTTCCTTATGGTGGTAGTAACATCCCATTCCATGCCAAAACTGCAAGAGAACAAGTTTCTGGTAAACTCGATATAAATATTGATATTGCACAAAAATATCTCTTAGAAGGAATGGAAAAATTGATTGGTGATTGTAATGGTATGATACTTACCACATTTGTCTACTTCCCCGCAGCATTCTATCATTTATTCTTATATTTATTGAATTTTAGAACCCAAGGTATTTTATAAAACTTGGAAATTGGTTAATTGCATCATCGCTTTACCAATTGCGAACATACTTGTTGGAGAAGTCAGTAATTATATCAGATTAATTTATAAATTATGTAAATCATTATTTTTTAAGACTTATAATGAATAAAATATTAATATATATTAGGAAGCGGCATCTCATGAAGATTTAGTGAAGGCATTAGGAGACTTGGCTTTTGATCTGGGTCCATTATTGGTAATTCCACCGATTTTATTTTTCATTCATAAGAAATTACACGAAATCGTAGTCACGTGAGCATGTTTTATATTTACTGTTTTTTACTGTTATTTATATTAAAAAGTTGTCAGATAACTGATAGTAATATTATTTATTAGTTTACCCTTTAAATTTGGATGGAGTCCAATATCACGTCATCGAAACATTGTAAAGAATCGTTTAAGTCCAGTAGTTGAAAAACGTTTAAAAGAAAGAAAGGAGCTTGGTGATAATTATAAACCTTATGTAAGTAAAACTATTGTATGAAAATTTGAAAATTATTATTATATTAACTCGTGTCTATAATGCTTATACTAGAATGATTTATTGGAATATTATATGAATCAACCGGATTTTGATATTACAAAACCCAATAATCTTCTTTATCATATTGATAATCTATTTGCTATTACTTTCGCCTCAATCAACACAACAAGTAGAGCATCAGTTGACGCATTATATGGTAACTATATAATTTTAAGATGAAATTTGTACATGTAAAGTTTTATTTATTTAATTTTATATTATTTTAGATTTGGCAGGAAGACCAGAATTAAAAAATGAATTATATGAAGAAGCATTGACAATTGATAAAGAATGTAATGGATTAGTAACCTTGACCGAAATTCAAAAAATGGTGAAATTAGATAGTTTCGTTAAAGAATCATTAAGATTTGGTGGCAACTTAAGTATGCATAACTTTAACGCTTCATACATATTAAATTAATTGTAATATTGAAATAATTTTGAAATATCATATTTTATTTTTTATACAGTTACTTTGCCTCATTATGTAATATCGAAAAGTTACACTTTCTCTAATGGTTTTACAGTTCCAGGAGGTAAATTAATAAAATTCATTTATGTTTTAATAAATGTATTTATTATTAACATCTAATCTTTTTTTTTTTTTGTATACAGGACGGATGACAATGTTGTATACCAATGATATGTTAATGGCAAAAGAATCCTTCGGTGATGATGCTGAAGAATTTAAACCATTCCGATTTTTAAATAGAAATTCTCCTGCAACAAAAGTTGATCGTTCTTATATTGTCTTCGGTGGTGGCAAACACGCGTGTCCTGGGTATTTATTTTTATGAACAAAATATTTTATCTGCATATTTTGCCTATAATTAACAAAACCTTTCTTTTTTTTACTATTAGTCGATTTTTTGCAATTAATGAAACAAAATTGTTTTTACATAAGGTTATTATGAAATACAAAGTTTCAACAGAAAGTGGAAAAATTGAAGATAAAATGCTTATTGGACCATCAACATCACCTTCTCAAGGTGGCTTAGTTTTTGAAAATAGAGTAAAAAATAATTAAATGGTATTTTCCTCTGGAACGGTGTTGTCATAGAATACGGATAGAGCGTCGGTTTGAAATATAAAATTATTTAAACTAAAAAAAAAGGCAAATTCATTTGTTAATAATGAATATATTTAATGATGTAATTAATTTCTCAATTATCTTTTTTATATAAACGCATTATTACAATTTAGATTAACAATAACTGAATGATCAATTAAAATCAATTATTTTGTTACATATAAAATTGATATCAGTCCCTTTATAAAATACTGTATAGAAATTCAATGCATTTTGAACTACTACATTGAATCATTATTTACATTAAATTTTTGTTTTATCGATTGTGAACATATTTGTTGAAGTTAACTATATAAGAAAATTAATATATTATGTGAACTTATTCTTTAAGAGCTATTATCAATAAAATATAAATATACATCAGGAAGCGGCATCTCATAAAGATCTAGTAAAGTTATTTGGAAACTTTGCTTCTGGGTCTAATATTAATAATTCCGCCAATTTTCACCAGAAACTATACGACATCGTAATCACCTAAGCATGTTACTTTTGCTGTCATGACATTGCCAATATTTATCATTATTTACAACTATTACTAATTATTTATTAGTTTGCCTATGAAATTTGGATGAAATCCAGTGCCACATCATCGAGAAGTCGACTAAGTCCAGTAATTGAAAAACATTTAAAGAAAAAAAAAATGAGCTTGGTGATAAATAATTTTTTTAAAAAAATTTTGCTCCATATTGAATATTTTTTGCATCATAAAGTTCTGTTTTTTAATATACAAAATTTTAATCATTCATGTCATTATAATATAGGATCAAGTGTCGGGATATTCCGATGAGTATGAATGTCGGGAATAATGGATTTTGAATTTTCGGGATTATGACTTGTCGAGATTGTGAATGACGGGATTGTGATTTTTTTTTTTTTTGAGGAAATTTGAAATAAAGAAATAGTAATACTAAAAAAAATTTTATAAAGCTCTTTTTATTAACGTTAATTTGTTAAAATCAATATAAGTAATTTCATGGGGAGTTTAGTAATTTCGTGGGGAGCGGACGATGGCTTTTTCCCTTCGGGAAAAGAACCAAACCCCCAGGAGGCAGGAGCGTGTGACTTACGATCATCACGTGTACAGAACAAAATCCTTGTGAAATTCCCGTACATCTTCGCTTTCCAATTCTTTTCCTTGAAAGGATACCATAAAGGATAGACAATATGACGGGAAATGACGTAATCTGATACTTTGCTTACCAAATTTGGGTGTTTCATACCATTACGATCATGCATAATTTTAAAAATGACGCATGCCGTCTTTGGCTTAACGCCGATCAGAATTATTACATTTGAAAATCCCAAAAGTTTTCAGCAATATGCGTAAATCAAGCCATCTCGCTAAAAAACTTGCGAAACTTTGCGATTTTTTCGAATAATTAATTATGTAAAAAAAGATCAATTACTAAAAAAATTGAAGCAAACCTCTAAAAATTCTAAATACTTGAGTTTAAAACTTAAAAGTTTTATGTAAAACTAATAGTTTGTTGTAAGGCAATTCGCTTAAATATTTAGAGTTTCTGGAGTTTCACTAAATAATTGACCTTTCTACATTATTATTCGGAAGATCGTCAAGATTTGCAAATTTTTGAAAATCGGCTTTTTTATAAATGACGTCATTCCCGCCCATAGTGTAGGTCATGAATTCCCGAAACAACCCACCTCGTGAATGCATTATTCAAGATGTGGGAAACTTCCAAAATTTTTTATTATTTTTATTGGAATTGGAACATCGCACCTGTTATAAAAAAAATTTTTGTAAATCATATGTTGAAAATAACAAAATCAATACAAACAAACGGATTACTCAAATTTTTTATAAAAATGCGAGTTTTGATCTTTTTTTTTTTATAAATATTTTCACTTTTTTAACACATTATCTTACAAGGAAGCCAATTTTCATTTTTTAATACATTATCTTACAAAAAAGAAGACTTGTACAATGATTGAAGTTTCATTGTTTCAATTATTTGTTATTTTTATAATAATTCTTTATATCATAAACCGTCCTCGTTTAGGAAAAGTAAGTAAATGAATTCGTAATTATAGCAATTAATTTTGCAAACTTTGCTTACCTTAATTTTATAGAATGAACCTCCACTTGTGCCTTATACAATTCCAATTCTCGGACATACGTATGATTATTTATTTAACACAAAAACTTTCATTAAAAAATGTAAAGAACAGGTAATCATTAAACATTTTAACATTTATTTTTTGAAAAAAAATGAGTTTTTTAACATATACGTATGTCCGTTTATTAGTATGGTGAATGTTTTTCAATTTATATATTCGGAGATGTGGTGACAATTCTTTCAAGAGATTCGTTGACTGAAGTGTTTAGAAATAATAATGACTTTGATATGGAATTAGCAGCAAAAGAGGTAATTACCTTAAAATATTGTGTAACATGCCTCACTTAATCAAACCGAAATTAATCTATTTTTTTTTTTAATAGACTCTTCCTTTAGAACGACTTCTTCCTTATAGTGGTAATAACGTCCCATTCCATGTCAAAGCTACAAGAGATCAAATTTCTGGTAAACTCGATATAAATATTGACATCGCACAAAAATATCTCTTAAAAGGAATAGACAAATTGATTGGTGATTGTAATGGTATGATACTTACCACATTTGTCTGCTTCACCGCAGCATTCTATCATTTATTCTTATATTTTTTGAATTTTAGAACCCAAGGTAGTTTATAACGCTTGGAATATGGTTAATTTCCTCATCGCTTTACCAATTGCGAACATACTTGTTGGAGAAGTCAGTAATTATATCAGATCAATTTATAAATTATGTAAATCATTATTTTTTAAGACTTATAATGAATAAAATATTAATATATATTAGGAGGCGGCATCTCATGAAGATTTAGTGAAGTCATTAGGAGACTTGGCTTTTGACGTGGGTCCATTATTGGTAATTCCACCGATTTTATTTTTCATTCATAAGAAATTACACGAAATCGTAATCACGTGAGCATGTTTTATATTTACTGTTTTTTACTGTTATTTATATTAAAAAGTTGTCAGATAACTGATAGTAATATTATTTATTAGTTTACCCCTTAAATTTGGATGGAATCCGGTATCGCGTCATCGAAACGTTGTAATGAATCGTTTAAGACCAGTAGTTGAAAAACGTTTAAAGGAAAGAAAGGAGCTTGGTAATTATTATAAACCTTATGTAAGTAAAATTATTGTTTGAAAAATTTGAAAATTATTATTATATTAACTCGTGCCTATAATGTTTATACTAGAATGATTTATGGGAATATTATATGAATCTACCGAATTTTGATAATACAAACCCCAATAATCTTCATTTTCATGTTGATAACCTACTTGCTATTACTTTCGCCTCAATCAGCACAACGAGTAGAGCAGCAGTTGACGCATTATATGGTAACCAATAATTTTTAAGATGATATTTGTGCATATAAAGTTTATTTATTTAATTTTATATTATTTCAGATTTGGCAGGAAGACCAGAATTATTAAATGAATTATATGAAGAAGCATTGATAATTGATAAAGAATGTAATGGATTAGTAACTGTCCCCGAAATTCAAAAAATGGTGAAATTAGATAGCTTCGTTAAAGAATCCTTAAGACACGGTGATAGCATACGTAAGCAAGCATACTTTAACTCTCCATACATATTTATATCATAATTGTAATATTGAAATACCATATTTTTATTTTTTATTCAGTTGGTTTGCCTCATTACATGATATCGAAAAGTTACACTTTCTCTAATGGTTTTACAATTCCAGAAGGTAAATTAATAAAAATCATCTTATATTTTAATGAAGTGTATTTATTATTAACATTTAATCCATTTAATTTTTTTTTTTTTTTTTTTTGTATATACAGGACGTAAAATAATGTTGTATTCCATTGATATGTTAAAGGCAAAAGAATATTTCGGTGATGATGCTGAAGAATTTAAACCATTCCGATTTTTAAATAGAAATTCTCCTGCGACAAAAGTTGATCGTTCTTATATTGTCTTCGGTGGTGGAAAACACGCGTGTCCTGGGTATTTATTTTTATGAACAAAATATTTTATCTGCAAAATTTTGCCTATTATTAACACAACCTTTTTTTTTTATTAGTCGATTTTTTGCAGTTAGTGAAACAAAATTGTTTTTACATAAGATTATTATGAAATACAAAGTTTCAACAGAAAGTGGAAAAATTGAAGATAAAGTATTTGTTGGACCATTTACATCACCTTCTGAAGGTGGCTTAGTTTTTGAAAATAGAAAATAAGATACCCTAAGTAATTTTTCAAATATTATCAATATATATTAAAGAAATAAATTTTTATTTTTATTAATCTTGTATTACAGGTATTCGTTGAATACCTGTGTTGTTATTATTAAATAAAATTTTTATTATTTATAATAATTCATTAATAATGATATTTTCTAGAATTTGCTTTTTTTTTGTAAAAAATCCAATTTTTAAAATTGAATAACTTGTGCTCTATTGTTTTAAACGAATGCATAAAACTACCGCATAACTTTAATAAATAAGCAACTTTAATAAATAATTAACTATATTATGGTATCCGGACTTTTCGCCGAAAAATTATGTATTCCATTTGGTTATTTTATTGTTTTCATACTAAAAATCTTTTCTAGAAAAATTTTTGAATTATCTGTTTTTTATTGTTGTTTATAATAAATACATTAATCTTTTTTTACCTACTTTTTCTTGAATAAATGTTTTCAGGAAAATAAAGTTATTTATTTATTGCTTAACAATTAATATCAGTTACTTGAATGTTAAAGTGACAATATCCTGAAATGTTTATTTCATTGCGCGATGAATATTTTTTATGTTAATCGCCACCATTTTCGGCGAAATGTCCATTTGGCGAAATAAGATTCGGTGAAATGGATCTATATTATTTATCTGTTGAAATGGACTCCTTTTTTTGCAAAGCGCTTTATCACAATTTAGGGTGTGGTCAACTAATTAAATCAAAACTATATATGGACCCAGAAAAATTTACTATTAAAGATTTTAACGCTGTTAAAAAATCTGAAATCTTAAAACTTCGATAACTTTGTATTTAACCATCATTCAGAAATATAAAAATTTAAATAAATGCCCAATAACTTGGAGAATAATGTAACAGTCTCGCTTGTTTGAAAAACACCAAAGAAAAAACATTTTTCCTTATGTAGGATACATCCCGAAAATGGCATTTTATTTATTTTTGAGACATAAACGATCTTTTCTGGAAAAAAACAAACTATCACATAAAGGAGACAATTTAGAATACTTATGTAGAATTTTGAATGTGAATAATTGGAAGAATTTAATGATATGGAAGTATGAAAACATATCAATTTAGAAATTTTATTATAAAATGTAATTAATCAATAATTTAATCAGAAAATCTAATTTTTTATATGGGTCCATATAAATAGTTTTGTTGATGTGCTGTACAGTAGGGGATAAATTTTTTGAAATGAAAATAATAAAAAGAAACAAACTCCTATAATTAACAGTATATCTTAGAAATTTTTGAATCATATTACAGAATCATATTACAGTAATTAATTTTATTAATTGATAGTTCTTTACAGACTTTATAGAACGATAAGTACTATGGATTTATGATGATTATTTAACCGAATGTAATTCGATTATTCGGGAATATTGCTATTTGGAGCAAATATATTACCGTCGATTTTCACATAATAAAAATTTTTACATTGGAAGTTATTCTTTTTAATGCTTTCATTTTAACACATTAATAAGACTTACAAGATGTTTGAAGTTTCAATGTTTCAAATATTTGTTATTTTTATGATAATTTTATATATCATAAAACGTCCTCGTATAGGCAAAGTAAGTAAATGAGTTCGTAATTATGATAGCAAATTAATTTCTGTTAAACTTTGCTTACCCTTAATTTATAGAACGAACCTCCATTTGTGCCTTATACAATTCCAATTCTTGGACATACGTATAATTATTTATTTAATCCAAAAAAATTCATTAAAGAATGTAAAGAACAGGTAATCTTTAGATATTTTAATCTTTTTTGAAAAAAAGAAAAAGAAAAATAATTTTTTTGACATATACGTATATTCGTTTATTAGTATGGTGATTGTTTTTCAATTTATGTATTCGGACATGTGATGACAGTTGTTTCAAGGGATTCATTGACTGAAGTGTTTAGAAATTCCGATGACTTTGACTTTTCATCAGCAATAAATGAGGTAATTATTTAAAATTAACTATTAAATAAATCATGCCACATTTAACCAACCAAATATTAATTATTATTATTTGGCGTGGTAGCTTCTCCCTTTTCATCGACTTTTTACTTATAATGCCGGTATAACCAAAGAAAGTAACATATTTCATGCTAAAACTACAAGAGAACAAGTTTCTGGTAAACTCGCATTAAATACAAACATCGTACAAAAGTATCTCATGAAGGGAATGGATAAGTGGATTGGAGATTGTAATGGTATGTCACCTATTACATTTGTCTACTTAATCACCACTTGTTCTTATATTTATTAAATATTAGATCCCAAGATAGTTGATAACACTTGGATTACGTTAAATAATATCGTTGCTTTATCAATTACGAACATATTTGCCGGGGAAGTCAGTAATTATATGAGATTTATTTATAAATTATGTGAAATTATTCTTTAAAGGTTATTAACAATAAAACATTAACATATATTAGGAAGCTGCAATTCATGAAGATTTAATAAAGTCATTTGGAAGCTTTGCTTTTGATGTGGGTTCATTATTAATGATTCCACCAATTTTATCTTTCATTCACCCGAAACTACACGAAATCGTAATCACGTGAGATGTTACTTTTGCCGTCATTTCCGAAATTTATACATTATAAAGATAAGGTTTTTCTTTAACTAATACTAATTTTCATCTATTAGTTTACCTATGAAATTTGGATGGAATCCAGTGTCGCGTCATCGAGAAGTCGCAATGAATCGGTTAAGACCAGTAATCGAAAAACGTTTAAAGGAAAAAACAATACTTGGTAACAATTATAAACCTTATGTAAGTAATATTGTAGTTTAATGATTTTATTTTATTTTTATACTAATTTGATTCCATGATGTCTATATTAGAATGATTTGTTGGAATATTATATGAATCAACCGAATTTTGATTATACAATCCCCGAAAATTTGTCTTATCATATTGAAAATCTACTTGTTTTGGTTTTTGCCTCAATAAACACAACTAGCAGAACAGTTGTTGACGCATTATATGGTAACCATATAATTTTTAAGATGATATTTATGTAAGTATGTAAAGTTTTTTAATAATTTATATTATTTTAGATTTGGCAGGAAGACCAGAAGTATTAAATGAGTTATACGAAGAAGCATTAACAATTAATAAAGAATGTAATGGAACAATAACTATCCTCGAAATTCAAAAAATGGAAAAATTAGATAGCTTTATTAAAGAATCATTAAGACACAGTGATAACATACGTAAGCAAGCATACTTTAACTCTTCATACATATTATATCATAATTGTTGAAATACTATATTTAATTTTTATTCAGTTGCTTTGCCTCATTACATGATATCGAAAAGTTACACTTTCTCCAATGGTTATACAATTCTAAAAGGTAAAATAATAAAATTTTTTTATAAAATTAAAAGCGTATTATTATCATCTAATCTTTTTTGTGTACAGGACGTAAGGTACTTATGTGTGCCGATGATATGTTAAAGGCAAAAGAATGTTATGGTGATGATGCTGAAGAATTTAAACCATTTCGATTTGTAAATGCAAAATCTCCTGCGACAAAAGTTGATCGTTCTTATATTGTTTTCGGTGGTGGCAGACATGCATGTCCTGGGTAAATTATTTTATGAACAAATATTTTATCTAAATTTTGCCTATAATTAATACAATCTTTCTCTCTTTTTTATCAGTCGATTTTTTGCAATTACTGAAACGAAATTGTTGTTACATAAGCTTATTATGAAATACAAAATTTCAACAAAAAGTGGAAAAATTGAAAAAAAAATATATATTGGGCCAATTACAATACCTTCTCAAAGTAGCTTAGTTTTTGAAAATAGAGTAAAATGTTAGTTCAACAATATAATATATTTTTTTTCTATTTCATCTAATAACACTGAGCTTTTTATATTTTTCGATCACTAACATACGATATGCCTTTTTAAATTACTGTATTATCTCTCCTAATGAGTTTTTTTCAAATAAAATAAAATATTATTAAAGTAATAATTTTTTATTAATGCTATGTTTTATATTCAATCTTATTTAATTCTGAGTCAGCATTTCTTCGTGAAATCTACTGGCCATTTTTATTCTTCCAAATTGGATATTTGCTTTTGTTTTTTATTAAAGGATTTAAGAATTCAATTTTTTCTACGAAAGATATAGTTATCAATATCTGCGGATGATGCAATTTATCGGTAGATAATTATTGTTAATTATCATATTTCGTTAATTATCGGTATTTTATTATTTTTATGGCGATAAAAATCGATAAAGTGATATATATCGCTATATCATCTGAAAAAATTTCCTGATGTATACAAGAGTAACACTTTGTTATCCAGTAGTTAAAACGTGAATGCTTTCTTTTTTTTATAAGATATACACAGTGAAAAGAGAATTTCTCAAAATTTGAAATGTAAATAATTATAGAAACGGTAATTCACGTTAAATACCTTGTGCAGACAATTTAGGTCATACGTTTAATAAATAGATACAGCGGAAATCGGTATGAATCGGTATGCGTATAATCGGTACAATCGGTGTAAATCGGTATGTAGTCATCAGTCGGTATAAAATCGGTATCGATCATATATATATCATTTGCTGCAATTTTTTTCATAATTTTATAATAAAGTATTGTTAAAATCTTCCAAGTTACCGAATTAGAAAGGACTTATTCAAATTTGACGTTTATTGCATTTATACGTAGAATAAAATGAAAATTTATTTTATTAAATCTAAGATACACATATATAAAATCTAAAACGTTAAAATTATACAGTCTAATATGTAACAATGTAAATATATATATATATATAAATGTAGTGAAAGAAAATGTACTAATTACATAATTTACACTAGCCACACGACCACCACCTCTACCACCTACCTCACTGCTAATCGAGAAGGCAATACTTTTTTATAGTGGTGTTGATGGTATAGTGTAGGTGATGGTGATGTAGATGGTGTAGATGGTGGTGGTAGTGGTGGTGATTTAAATGGTATTGGTGATGGTCAAGTACCAGGCAAGCCGGTGTAGCAGTAGATGCCAGTGTTGGTTTTGGTGGTGGTGTAGGGGATTTCGATGGTGGTTAAGTAGGTGCCAGTGTTGGTTTTGGTTTTGGTTTTGATTTTGGTTTTGGTTTTGGTGGTGATGTATGGGATTTCGGTGGTGGTTAAGTAGGTGCCAGTGTTGATTTTGGTTTTGGTTTTGGTTTTGGTGGTGGTGTAGGGGATTTCGGTGGTGGTTAAGTATGTTCCAGTGTCGGTAGTTGTGATGTAGACGGTAGTGGTTGCGATGCAACCGGTTGTTTCTTTACGAGATTCTAGAGAATGGTGACGACTTTTTAAGTTTATATTAGCTTGATTCCATGAATGATGCTCATTGTTATAATTTGCATGATAAGTAAGATCATTCTTTCCAGATAATGAAAAACTTTCAATTACTTTAATAGTAAAAAAGAGAGTAATAATGAGGAATGATCTCATATTTATAAACGAAAAAAAAATCAATGTATGAAAAAATATTTCTAAAAATGAAAGATTTAATTTAGATAAATATGTTTGGAATTTGATAATATTGAATTTTGAAATGTTTTGTCAAATAGAAACGTTGAAATTAAAAACTTTCGAGGTAGGGTTTTATAAGAAATATGAATATTATGAGAGTGATAAATATTTTCATTTAATTACATAATATAAAAATTAATTTAAAATAACGATAAACGGAGAATGAAAAAAAAAAAAAAAGATTTTTTTTTTTTTCAATCATTAAATTAATCAATTGGGCCAGCATTACATGTCGAATATAATGAATATTCTCAATTAACAAACAAACGACAATCGCATATGTCTTTATTTATGTAACTGAAGAATTCGATATATTTTCTTTTTTCGGCAACAATAAATTTTCGCAACTTGATAATAAATTACATATATTAGATAATCGATTTCGAATACAAATGTAGTTGTGATCGATCATAAATTGTTTGATAAATTGAATAATATAAGATTAGAATATTGATAAAATTTATCATTTCCATTTATCTTTTACCCAATTATAAAAGGATACATTTTCATTTCTATAATATCACTTTATTTTTAGTGATAGTTACTTTAATATGTAACTTCTCCTTCATTATTTGCACTAAAATGGCCACTCATCTTAATAATAATAAGGAAAAAATTCATATTAATAACGAAACATGAAAGAATTTTGTGCACTTTGATGAAATTAATACACTAACCAAATATTAACCCCTAACAAAATAATTGCGCGCCGCAGCAACTATATAAACAATTTCAGCTTACCATTTAAAGAAAATTTGTACAGATACTTAGATCTGGTCATGTCAAAAATTTAATGTGGTAACAGGTAACTGACGACGCAGTAATTTCGTTTTTTTTGTGTCTTTGTGTAAAATTAATTTCCTTATAATTATTTTTTTTTTGGTTTTTGTTCTTATACCATTCTTTTCAAAATAAATTCTATCGAAAAGTAACCTATATATTTTATTAAGGCTGTCAATAAAAATGATGTTAATTCATGTTTTTGTTAGTCATCTCACCATATGTTCTAGTGTCAAACTCATTGTATATATGGAAGAAAATTAAGGAATAATTTATTATTTAAATGATATCCATAGTTGACCTGCACTATGGTTACGATTATCTATATTCTATCTATCTTTAGATTTCACAAATCACTCATGGCCTCATCAAAGTCCTATGAATTCTGGTGACCAGCTTCCTCCATTATTGTTGCCATCGGTGCCCAAATCACTGAACCAATCTTTAGGTAGAAACTCTGTTGGAAACCCTTTTGCATTATATGAAATCAAAATGGCGATTGTATGGTCAAGGCAATTATTGCCAATAACATCATAGCCGTTCGCTTTTATCTCCGCCATTTTAATGTATGCTGCATTAACATTATTGTTTTCTACTTTTTCACAATTGTAACTAATATAATCTTTAGATTTAAAAACATTAATCATACTCTCATAACTTCCTTGGTCCTTCCAGTAGCCATTTGGTTGACCTTTAGGTATATGTAAAGTTTCTTGACCATCGGTTGAACCATAAACATAAGTGCTGGTGCCACTTATTTGCAAACCCCAACCAATGTGTCCTATTTCTATAGATACAAGGGAAAATTGTTTATAAAATACACAAGCTTCTCCTAATTCGACAGGAATGACAACGATGCTAATACTAATCATAACAATGAAAATCATTATTATCGATGTACGGAATCTTGGGTATTCAACGATCATGACTTTTAATGTTTTAGACTGATAGGTTAATTTTTTTTATGACACATTTTATAATCAGGTGTACGTTGTATACTTGCGTAATCTAATGCATTTTGATGCATAATCTGATCTCCTGAAAAGTATATATTATTTTTTTTTTTCTTCAAGAAAAGAAAGAATTAATTTTGTTAATGATCGGCCCGTTATCAAAACCCATAATCAAAAACAAAATTATATATATCTGATCATCATACCAAATTTACATGTACCCTCATTTATTAGGTGTTATTGTTTAAAATCATTTTTACTACGTCGAATGGTATTATTGTAATTATTTTGCATGAGTCATCTTATCAGATATGACAAACAAAAACCGATGTACATAGACAGTACTTATTAAAATACATAAAGTTTCAATAATTGCAGGAAATATGATCAACATTCCCGTATTCGGTAATTATTATTAACAATGTTATCATATGATTGCGCCCTTAAACACTGCGGCTGTGTTATTGTTGCTTAAAAAAAGTATTTTTTTTTTTTTTATATATAATTACTTGGGAATTTTGATAGCAAAAAATTCAAATTCGCACGATTTTCATAATATTCATTTATAAAAAAAACAAATTAAAATTTCTCACACGATTACATCTGTCTCTTATACACATCTATTCAAATTCGCACGATTTTCATAATATTCATTTATAAAAAAAACAAATTAAAATTTCTCACACGATTACATCTGTCTCTTATACNAAAAAAAAAAAAAAAATATGACGTCCATGGATGAAGAAATTTTCGATATTACCAAAAATGAAAGACTTTCCTTTGTTACCGGACCTAGGGGATCCTCAAAAGTTAGGCAATTTGAGTAAATATTAAAATTTTAATATATCACTTTTTTTTTTATCATTTTATCATTATATTTAATATATATATATATATTTTTTAAAAAAAAAAAAATTTAGGAATCAATCTGGCGCAAGAATTCGTGTTGATAGTGAACCATCTAACACAATGATAAGAATTTTTGGAAATTCATCTCAACGTGAGGAAGCAAAAATCTTGATTAGAGATACACTTGAAAAAACCTCTTTTATTCCAACAGTCAGTTATTTTATCTTGTCTGAGTCAAGTTTTGATAATAACAGACTTAAATTTGTCGAAGCCGATGAAGAGTCGTCAAATGGAAGAACTCGTTACTTCGTTAAATTTATAAAAGATGATGATGATGAATACAATGAGCCTGATGAACTTGATGAAGTTAATATTGAAGATTATCTTCATATTACTCCTTGCCAATTTAACACATTCGATAAACTTGATGATTGTTTAGATATATTGTCATCAAAATTAAAATCAAATTTTAGGCAAAGATCCGCAGATTCCCTTTTTTCCGAAAAAATTATTTTAAAGCCCAGAATATTTTTTGGCAAAGTCCTATTTTTTGAAATGGATAATCCCAAGGATTCTTTTACTTTAAGGGATTGGTATAAATTTAATGTCTTATCAGGAAGAGGTCGTCGAGGAAGCACTGGTGAGGATAATGGAAATCGTGATGGTAAAACTGTTAATGTTGAATTTCAACAAGATTCACCCCAAGTTTACGAAGATTTCAAAGTACTTCAACAAAAATTTGGGTTCAAAGTTCATCATAAACGACCTTCTAAAGACAAAACAAAAGGATGCGTATATATTTACTATACTCCAACATCAACAAATAAGAAGAGAAAATTGAAATTACGTTGGGATGAAGATGAAAATAAATGGAAAGTAGTAAATCATTCACACAGCATTAACCGTCTAGGTAAGATATTATTTAATTTTAACTAAATTAAAAAATTTTTTCTTTTATTTATTTTTTAAAATTTTTTCTTTTATTTGAAAATTTTCTAGCGAATTTTGATATTGTTTCTGGATCAAAAGCACCCGACTTTAGATTTTCGCTTAAAACCCATTATGATCTTTCTTCTGAAGGTTCAAAAGTTGAAGAGATCATTAATAATATTCAATTTTCTAATTCTTTTGCTGAAAGAGATGGAATGTGGTTTAAATCCAGTGATTTTTCTGATACTTTAATGCAAAAAGCCGTAATTCGACAAGTTATAGAAAAGAAAAGTTTCAGGTAACATTTATTAATTGTATCTCTCGGTGATTTTTTTTTAATTATTGACTAAATCTTTATTTTTCACTTTAAAAAAGGAATGAAAGTTATCATATTACATTCGCAACTATCAAACATTGTGATATTAACAACAGAATCTCCACTCAAAAATTGATCACCTTGAAACATCATACTTGGGCTCAAAGTGTCACTTTAAATAATACAGAAGCATTTATGAATAATGTTTTTGACACACTTAATTATGTTCAAGACATGATATCAACTTTGCTTTAAAATTTTGCTTATTTTTTTATTTTTATTTTTTGCTTTTGCTTTATTTATAAAAAACATTATCTCATATATATATAATTTTTATATTTGTAAATTCAATATTTCTTTTCATATACTAGACCAATGTAAACGGTCACGTTTTCACATACTATTTTTAATAAAATATAGCTTGATCGAATCAACAAGAAATATATTGTACTGTACATACGAATTGATAAATAACATGAATCTTCTACTTATATTTCTCGTAGAATTTTTCTGAATGACCTTGAAGATATAACGTAAATGTCGGCCAAGAGAAATTTAGTGAGATACTACAGTACATTATACCGAGTTTTATCGAATGTACTAATGTCTGAATTTCTTCACATGATCCTTGAATTCGTAAAATATATTATTAGAAATATGATAACAAAGTGAGGATTATAATTCAAATTATACCAATCATTTAATGCTTGGGATATTACTGATATTACTGTAAAAAATTTGTATAATGGAAGGATCGCGTATTCCTAAAAAAAATAAAATTAAGTGAAACATTTAACAAGTTACAACGTGATTAAATGTGTTTACGGTAATTACAAAGATTTATTAATCAAATATAAAAAATTAATTATAGAATTCGAAAAAATAATTTTATTAAATGTACTTGGAACTGTGTAAATAAAATTAGCAAGATCGCCTGACGATTAAAAATTTTTAGTTGTATTTGGTTAGATCAACAGGATTACAGGAAATCATTCTTATGCACTTAAAATTAAAATAAATAATATCATCATATTATTAATTAAACAATTGCATTATCATTGAATAATAAGTGTACTTTATGCAAAAATATGATATTCGTTTATTTATTTTGACTTTTTTATATATAAAGTTATAATTTAAATATATAATATAATGTATAATAAAATTATTTTAAAAATATAAATATTTCAAATATTTTGATATACTATTAATTAACAGTACTATGGCGTGCTAATTTATCGGATGGTCTGATATCAAATGATGGTCTAACACCAGTTTCAAGTGATGATTTAGAAACTAGAGTACGAGCTCTTCTAATCATATCATTTCCAAGTTTGGTATTACTAATATTACCATATTCTCCTTTCCTTATAATACTTCCTAATTTTTTCAAAGCATAATAATGATTTTGATCTGCAGCTTTACGTAAAAAATCGTTTGCGACTTTAAATTGTTCTTCATCTTTTTGTTCTTTAGCTATCAAACCATAATTTAATATTGAAATAGAGTACCAATATTGAGCATCAGGATGACCTTCTTTCGCAGCCTGATATAAATATTTACTTGCTCTTGGATCTGCTTTACCATTACTTCCTTTATCATGATAACCCTTAAGATAATAAAGTCCTACCCAAAATTTTGCTTCTGGAGATTGATTTCTTTTCTCAATTTCTTTAAATATTTTCCATGCTTTATTGTAATTTTTTTCATTATGTAAATTAATCGCTTCATCAAAATCCAACTGTTTTTGGAAAGGATTAAGTTTATCAAGGCCTTTACGTTTTTCAAGATGTGTTGGTGCAGTAATAGTTAAACCAGCAGGAGAGATATAATCACCATCCGTTGAACAATTTGTATGAATTGAAGAAGCATCATCACCTCTAATTGCAGAATTTGGAGAAAGAAAATTATTCTTAACATCATTAACATCAGTAACTCTAGATATTTCATCTGGCCAATATTTTTCTATTGTTACTAATCTTTTTAATATATCACACATATAATCAACATTAGGACGTTGTTTTGAGGATAAATCCCATCCTTGTTTCATTATATTTTGATATTCGATTGGAGTACCAACAGTTGCTTCAGGTTGTGGATTTATTCCAATAAGAACTTTGGTTTTAATTTGATTAATATTTGTATCATCATGATATGGTATTTTATGATTAATGATTTCCCAAAGAACTAAAGAAAAACTAAACAAGAAAAACAAGAAAAAGATGTTAAATTTACTAAATTATAAATATATAGATTTATTTTTAAAAAGATAAATAATTACCTATAAATTTCACTAGCAGCAGTATAATTTTCACCTCGAAATTTCTCAGGAGGAGTCCACCTTGAATCTGTTTGCTTAGTAATTGATTTCATGAAAATTGGTGAATCATTAACGGTACGGAAATTAGAAAGTTTTGCTTCTAATTGAGAGTCCAAGAAAATGTTTTCACTAAAAAAAAAATAGAAAAGGATATAAATAAAATAATTAAATTAAAGAAAAAAAAAAATATATTGATATTAAAACATACCTTCTAATATCATAATGTAAAATATTTTGTTTATGAATAAAACTCAACGCATCAGCAATTCCATACGCGATTGTTAATTTTTTCACCATTTCCAGTTTTAAATTTTCTGAAAGATAAGTTTTAAGATTGTATTCTCCCCATCGTGAAATAACACTACAATTTGTACCACGACGAATAAATCCATAACTAAAAAATATATATATGTATATATATATCAATATTTTAGTAATTAATTCTTTTTATATGTGTTGTTAAGCACACTTTTTCTTATACTTACACATCAAGTATATGATGACATTTACTAAAACTTTTTAATAAATCAATTTCCTTTTTAAGGTCAAGAAGTTTTGGATCGCTTTTTTCAAAGGTTCCAACCGCTTTTATAGCAACAAGTGAAGAAACGTAAGTTCCTTTTATAGTACTTCCAACAACAACAGGTGGTTCCAGTGGTTCAACGAAATCTGATTTAATTTCACAAATTTTTATTTCTTTTTCATAAGCTGTAACAGATTTCCTAATATTCGCCATCTTAGCAAATGCTTTAATCTTTTTTTTAATCTTTCCATTCCATCCCACACGACCGGATTTCCATTTAATAAATATATCACGTAATTCATCAGTTGATACTTTCAATTCATCATTTAATTTTGTTAAGTCGCGACGAACCTAAATGAGGTAAAGAGAAGAGAAAAAGAAAGAGAGAGAGGGTTAATAAATATTATTATATAAGTATGCGTTGTAATAAGTGACGTAAGATATTATTACCTCATCAGCTGGATTTGAATGATTAAAAGTTTCAAATTTTGATATACAATTATTATAATTTTGAAAAGCAGGAGATTCTTCAATTTCTTTTTTAATTTCAGAAGAATTTTGTGATCCATCAACAATTTGTTGAATTTCCGAAAGTAAATCATTCCCGGAATGAATAATATTTAAACTTATATCAATAAGATCCTTATTATTTTTCACTTCTTGAAATATCTTCAATACATTTTTACAAATGTTCTGTGTTTTTGATAAATCTTTACGAAAATTTGATTCAATTGGGAATTTTAATGTTTCCACAGTTAATGGTGAAGATACGAGATCAATAGTGGTTATAATTGTTGTAGCCATTTTTTTTTTTTTAAAAAAAAAAAAAAAAAATAATTTTTTTTGAGAAATTTGTATTTATGTATAAATAACCATTAAAAAAACGTCTGCAGATAATAAAGTACAAAAAAAGTTTAATGCATATCTTCAAATTTTTTAAACATTATGTCCAAATTAGGAAGGGAGGCCGTTCTTTTTTTGTTTAATAATAAAAAAAATATTTAATCTTTAAAATTCATTTATGGTTTTGAGAAAAAGTAAAATAAAAATGAAAGGAAATTTTAACTTTATTAATGGAAAAAATATTCGGAGCATTTTCTTTCCTTCAAAACTTTTTAGAAGAAAAAAAAAATTTTTTTCAGCCTTATAAAAAAAATTTCTGCAGTGTTTTCTTCACGACATTAGGTTAATGACAAAAAAGGAATCGAACTTGCTATACAATTTAATATAAAGGAAAGTCTTTGTTCTTTTTTGATAATAATATGTAAAAATTTGGTTAAAACGGTTTGATTTTAAAAAATTTAAAAGGAAATAGAAACAATCTCTCTTGTAAAAAGTTTTTATTCAAAGTTTTTGGGACCATCCAATAAAAAAAAATTTACTATTAAATCTTTCATATTACAATCATACTACAATAAAATATTTAAGTATAATGATATTTCATTTGAGATTTCTAAATTAAATTAAAATGACGTCATTATGTTTTATGATTATCAAATGAAAAAATTGTTCTTATTTATTTTAATTAAAATGGATTAGAAGGTTATTTTGAACAATGCTTCTTCCTCTGTCAACATGATTATAATGCGGATTGATATTATTATACATATTTTTTATTATATAAATTTAGCTTACAAATTGAAATCCTGTTAGTTATCTTGATTTTTTTTCCTGAGAAATTTTTACTAAAATATTTAAATTTCAGCCCACAAGTAAAAAAATTATTTATCCAAAAATTGATTACTTGTGTTTCATAAACAAAAAAATTAAATTAAAAATGGAGAATTCAGGTCTATACTTAAATAGGAAAATTTACGAATTGGGCAATTTGCCAAGAAATTTGTATAACAGAATACCTTATTAAAAATCTATCACGAGGTATTTCGTTACTAATTTTGTGTTAAAAACATTGAAAATTAAAAAAAAAAAATATTAAAAAAAAAATCTCCGTGATCGAATTACTGAAATATGATCGATTAACTACTGAGAAGCGATAGTCGATAACCAAATATAATATATACAATTGGAAGAGAAAAGAATTTTTCATGTTTTATCAAACCGCTGCTTAGTAGACAATCGTTAGCGACTTTGCGGTATTATGGGTAAAATAAAACATTTGATAGATAACTAAATATATCAATTTTACTTAAGAAGTAAGTTATGAAGCGAATTTATTGAGTATTATAGCGTTATTTATTTTTTTTTCTTTCTCATAATTTTCATTCCAAATCCACTAAAACGCTAAAAATTTTTTTAAAAAAAAACTGTGAATCAACCCAGTCAGGAAACTGTCAGGAAGCGATTAATTTAATAATCTTCTTTAGAAACCTAGTCGATTAAAATCTGTAATGATTATTGTGTGAATAAGATCATATTTATAATGAAATCTGAAAATTTTGAAATTATGGGATGCGTTTTTTCAAATATCGAACTGCATATAATAAACAGGTTATACTACTGGAATAAAATAAGATTTTTAAAGATCATGTGTTGATTTATTCACATGAGTTGATGCAAGAGTATCTTTTACGAATGGAATGGCATGTCAGTTAGTTATTAATACCCTTCAGCCGTAGCAGATATTATGATTATTACCAGAAGAATGGTTAACCAGTTATCGCTTTTATCGCTTTTTGAAAAGAACGCGAACTTTTTTAAATAAGAGCGAGGATTTTGCTTATAATTGACTTATCTTTAATGAATTAATACGAATATAGAATAGTTGACAGAAGAATATATTTTTATTATAGATGATTTAGATAAAAGATGGATACGAAAATGATTCAATTATAATTCTTTGGCTTATTACTAATATCCATACTATTTCATACTCTTTCATTCCGTTAAAACTATGTAATTATATAAAAGAAAAGACTTTCAACAAAATCATTAATGTAACTTCATAACCATATAGGTAAATCCTTTATTATTTACAATATTCTCTTATTACTTTTCTTTATTATCGTTATATTTCAAAAAATTTGCCAAAAAAGAAAATTTTTAGTCTTTATATATTGAAAGAACACAAATCTCAGTACAAATTACAGGTAATTATATAACTAAATAGAATATATATCGAAACTAAAATAAGCCGCCTAAGGCAATCTTCTTCCGGTGATAGGAATGAGGTATAATAAGTTTAAATAATAAAAAAATCGATCATGTCTAATCTTACAATAAACGAAAATAACATAATTCACTATTAAGCCGGACCGTTTCTCTATAGCTGGGTCGTATTGGGACAATTTGTCACTAGAATGTAATAAATGTGAAATTTCGGTTGCGAGATCCGAACATTATACTTTTAATGTGAAAATCCCTACAATAATCAAAGGTGTGAGACTGGGAATCTGGAGTGACTTCATTCTTCGACGAAAATTCTTATTAGATTTTCGTGCAGTGGGAGTAAACTTTTGAGGCAAATATTGAGGGCTAATTAAAAGTTCTAAAGTGTTTGACAGTTCTTAATTACGGAGCGCTACTTGCATATTGGGAAAGATTAAAATAGTAATCCGATTTGTTGAGATGAGTCAAACTTTGGAGCGACATCACATATACACTAATAATCTCATGTGATTAAAATTAGCACATGACCGTAATCCGTAATTTGACTAATTTCTTGGAATATTTACCGATCAAAAAAGCAATTATATCTCTGTAAAAACTCTCGTTTCTTTGTATCGAAATAAATAAAGTAAAAACAACGTTGACACCATTAAAGTAATTCACCATGAAACTCGTAAGGTTTGTAAATTTTATTATTTATTATTTATTTATTTATTTATTTATTTATTTTTGGATAAAGGATAAAATAAAAGAGAGAAAAAAAAGAAAATCTCAGTAATATAAAATTTCTATTTTATTTAATTTAAACCTATAAATTACTTTTTTTCATATTAGATTTTTAATGAAACTGAATAATGAAACTGTAACTATAGAATTAAAAAATGGGACAATAGTTCATGGAACAATTACTGGTATTTTCTTTGTTTATAAAATAATATTCCAATTTTTTTTTTTAAAAAAAAAATCTTTCTTAATTTTAAATTATTCTATTTAATTAGGTGTTGATATGAGTATGAATACTCATCTTAAAACAGTCAAAATGACTGTAAAAAACAAAGATCCCGTAAATTTAGATTCTTTAAGTATTAGAGGGAATAACGTTAGATATTATATTTTACCGGATTCACTTCCATTAGACACATTGCTAGTTGATGATACACCAAAAGCCAAGGCCAAGAAAAAAGAAGGTATGTTTATTTTTTGAGGACCCTTTTACTTTAAATCTTTTTTTGTTTTAAGGAAATTGTTTTATGGTTCTTTGGTTATGGTATATGAGATTATATTAAAATTAAAACTAACAATATTATTTTGAATTACATAGCTGTTGGTGTTGGACGTGGACGTGGACGAGGACGTGGACGTGGTACCCGCGGTCGTGGTCGTGGTCGTTAAGAATGTTTTTATTCAGAAATCGAAATCAAAGGGTTATCAATTCAATTCTTTTGTAATTAAAATATAATGAATATTATGGTTTGTATATTTTGTAATCAAAATTTTTTTGAGACAAATTTTTTCCTTAATCGAGAAGAATGTATTTTGGTTGTTTGACTTTTTTTATGGAAGTTCTGATGTTGTTAAGCTCAAGAATTGGAAATCTAAAAGTACTAAAGATAAAAAGGTAATAAATATTATTTGATAACTAAAGTTTACAGGTAGGTAGATATATATTATGATTTTATAAAAAAAAGTATAATATATATTCAATAAAAAAAAAAATAATAATAAATAATAATAATTAGAGTATTGAAATTTATTTTTGAATTTTTATAATAAATAACATTCAACATTTAAAAAAAAAAAAAAAATCTATATCCTTTTTTTAATTGAAAAATTTTAAAATTTTAAGCTTTCTTTTCTTTTCCATTTTCATCAAATGAGTCAACTTCTGTAGCTTGCTTTTCCCAAATATTTTGATCTTTCTTTTTCTTAATATCAAATTGTTCAACACCAGGTTTTCTATAGCTTCCACCAATCTTATCCCAAATAGTAAAATATTGACCGTAGTTATAGTTAAAATATAAATGATGAAGAACGTGATGAGCCGCACCATTAACAAATGTTCCTGTTGAAAGAAATTCGCCTATAATCAAAAAAGAGTGAGAATTTTTTTTTAGATGTATATAGATAAATAAATATATATAAACGTTACCATCATGAATCATAATCGTCCAAAGATTTACAAAAATGAACAAACTTATATAAAGAAATTTATGTAAAGGAAACAAATAGACGAAAATATGATATGGAACAGATTGAAGGTATCCATCTAATGGATGAAATGCATGAGATGAGAAAGGTGTTGGAACTATAATTGAAAAGCAAATAAATAAATTTAGTTTAAAATCGTTCAGAAAAAAAATAAATAAATAAAACGTTAAAATAAAAACTTACTGATCCAACGATGATGAGCCTAAATAAATTTACGTCAAAAATGGTACAAGTTAAATTAACTTAATTATGAATAATATTAATAAAAATTTTTAAAGAAATAATACCTTATGCAGGTGTTTATAAATGAGTGGATGATGCAGCCATCGATGAATCCAATAAATACACATATCAGTAAAGAACAAAAACCCAAATATAGAGAATACTGCATATAACAATCCATATTGATTAATATCATCATATAAAGCAGAATAACCTCTAACTTCACCGAGAAACCATGGGACAGTAACAATACTAGTAATAGGAAACCCAAATGCAGATAATTTTATTTCTTTCGCTATTTGATTTTTCAAAAATTTTGGATGTTTCATTAATTCTTTATCAAATACGAAAATATATGATAAAGTTGAAAAGAAAAAATAAAAAAAGTATGCAAAAAACATTGTAATAATAAATAATGAAATAAATTGTCTATAAATATTATCGCGGGAAAGATAGGATACATGTAGGATTTGTGTTCCATTCGTGCCAGAGAGGGAATTGGCTTGAACTAATGGAAAAAAACGCGCGTATAAATCATCAAAAATATATTCATCTGTGAAATCTAATGCTATATCCATTTTTTTAAAAATTCTTATATTAAAAAGAATCAAATGTTTATGATATCAATGATTAATACAATTTTCATAAATTTTAAAAAAAGGAAAAAAAAAATTTCCGAACTTGTGTAAAAATTTAAATTACCCACATGGGTTACTACTTAATCGCGGATCTAGTCAAGTGATACAAGTTAGAAAGTGATAAAGTTAAACATTAGCAGTTTCACTACCATATATAGTGTGAATTTACCAGTAAGTTTTCTATCTACAGTAAATCGTGTAGCCTTATTAAAAGCACGTGTTATTTCTCGATTGTCTAGGAAAAACTTTAACCTCCTAATAAGAAACGAATTTTCACGTTCTTATGTACATATCTTTCTTTACTATGAGTATATATTTTATCTCTTTCTTCAAAAATTTTAATAGTAACAATAATTGAGGTTCTTCTACTTTTTTTTTAGGTTATTCTTTGTAAATGGAAAGGGTAGAATGGATGTCTGGGTGGTGATGGTTTGGACGTTTGTAATTTATGGAAGGAATTCTATGGGAGAAAATTTGACGGAAGGAAATTTGATGATATATAGTTATAAGTTAGATTTATTAATGGCTTGGGCTGACCAATAGATAAATGGATCGAATGCCAATAGTTGAATGACTAACTTAGAAAGTTTTAGATTACGGATATATAGATTGTATAGGGCTATAGGGCTTTTCTGATTCTTGATTTATCATTACGCAATAATAATAAAAGGTCATTGTTTATTTTTTTATTTATTTCCATTCATGTGCCTTTAATTTATTTACTATTATTTATTGTTCAGTAATCAGAAACATTAAAAAAACGTTAAACTTGAAAAACAGCTCGTGAATTAGATAACTTTAATAATATATATTGTATAAATATATACATAAAACCCTTTTTCTCCAAAACTATATAAGGTTAAATTATTTTTTTTTATGACACTAATTTAATGATCTAAACCCAAATCCGTCATAAAATTTTATTCCATAGTAAGTGGAATATACTGTTACTAATAAAATGATAAGAAACAAAATGAATAGCCCAGTTTGTGCAGTTAAAACCGATGAAAAATGAAAATTAAATGCAGTAATTAAATGCTCATGATAAAAATACATTAAAATAAAAAAAATAAAATAAAATAAAAAAAACACTTCGTGGCGAAAATCATAAAAATCATAAAATCTTTAAATAAAAGAAGGCTAAGAGGAAAACCAAAAGAGAGGAGAATATGTTAAAAGAAGAATAACGGAGATAAAAAGCAATATCGATCAATAAATTGAATTGCTTTATTTGAAGAAAGGAATGGATGAATTTAAATGATAACAAAGGGATTCTGCTCGCATCGTAAATGATCCTAAGGAATTATATTAATAATATTTCATTAATGATTCTGAAGAATAAACATAAAAAAGTGTCCGTTTTTTACCTTATTACAATACGAAGCATTATTCCCCTTCGGTTAAATGATTTGTTCTCTCTTAACACGTAGAAGCCTTTAAGTTAGTTGATCAGCATGAATTATAAGTTTCACTACACCTAATGATTTTTTGAGATTTACTATGTCTTTTTACACTGCCTCTACTATCCCTTTTTGAAGAAGTTGGTGAATCAGGACTAGCATAATTTAAATAAACCCCATTAACATAGTTTTGCTTGTAAAAATCGGGATCCTTTTGTTCAAATTCTGGTGTCATAGTAGACCTTCGTTTAGTATATTTCGTTACTTTCCACATTTCATATTGAGATTTAATCTTTTTAATTATTGACATGGTTATTAATTTAAATTTAATATAATTTTCAAAAATTGGGAGGGGAAAACTGAAATAACGTTTTAATAATTTTTTTATTAAGGTTTCCTTCAGACTGGATTATTGTTAGACTGATGATGGCAAAATACGTCAAGCTAATAAAAAGTGTTACAAAACGTTTTAAACCTATCTAACAAAGGCGTAATGATATTAAAAGAAAAAGTCTATTGTTAAATTAATAACGGGTCAATTTTGAGGTAAGGAGGAAAGGAGAGTATAAATCTAAGAAGGAAAATGAAAAAAAAAGAGAGAATTTTTTAAAAAATCGTTAACCAGAAAGAAGAGTGTTTGAAAATAAAAAAAGAAAAAAAAAGAAAATAAATATAAATAAAAAATTAATTCGAAATTTTTAATTATTTCTTGTACTTCTTGTAGTGGAACTTTGGATAAAATGAACAATATCCAAATGTGCAACTGTAAACTCGAAAAAGAGCGAGGTTACTTATATTTAAAGCGGGAAATAAAACATTAACATAATAAGTTTAATTAGGATGGTTTCACAGCATGTTGGTTTGTTATTTTACTTTACATTACGTACATTACCTTATTTTACTTTCGCATATATATTGGTTTTTTTTAGTAAGATTTAAACGTTGGCATTCATTTTTTTTTATGTTCTTTATTCTTCCAATTTTCTTGTGTAATGTGATACGTTCTGAATGATTTTGTATTAAACATAAACATGGCCGCAGTAAACAAATTGTATTACAGAAAATATTTTGATAAAATTGGATTTTTTTTTTTTAACAATAGCTATTTCTTATCTTCTCTGATCATTTCTAATATTGCTACTTGATCCTAATAATTCATGCATTTTTCTCTGAGTCTGTGCAGTAGCGTAATGGAATACAGCCTCATTGACCCAACTTTGTTTGTAAAATTCGGATCTTCTCTGTTCTTCAAGATTGACGTGACTTTCCCCTAATATGACCTATATATAAGGTAATGTAAGTATTTATTATATATCATAAAAGGAATCAAACATATAAATCTAATTACTTCTAAATCTCGACTTTGACTTGCAACCCATTTATTAATAAATTCAACGGGTGATTTCGCGAAATTTAATAAAAAGTCGCGCTTTGTTTTCGAATTATTTATACTTTGTACACATTGGACAATCTAATATTTAATAAACCCGTGTCAATTTTTTGATTAAAATAAATACAAGTTATTTTAAGAAAGCAAACCTTGTCATCCAAATTCTGTACTTCTCTTTGGCTCGCATTATTATTAAAAACAGAAAGAAGTCTCAACTTGTTAGGATCATCAACTTCAACTTCAATGTCGTAAGCATATCTTGATTGGTGAAATTCTTTGTCGACTCTAAAATTTGGGGAAACAATTAATTCATTAAGTTGATGGTGTTAAAATGTTATAATTCAAAAAAGAGATAAATTTATATACCGAATTGTATAATCAATGGTTATAGGGTCAATTGGTTGTAAATGCATATTAATTAATTCCGGTATTTGTGGAAAAGCCATTCGGGGACAATTAAAAAGCTAGAAGAAAATTTTATTAATATTGAATATATTGTGAATAAGAAAATAATAATAATAATAATAAAATTAAACATACTGATTCTAAACGTGCATCATTATTAATGAATCTTTTGTCTTCAATATTGTCTTGTAAATTATGATGCTATAAGAATAAAATAAAAATTAATCTACTCATCTCATGAATTCAAAAGGTCTTTAAGTTGAACCCAAGACAGACCATCAGCCAGCCGAGCATGTATAGGCTGATGGCTCAAACCAATTAGACAAATAACCTTGATATATTGCCATAATGCCAAAATAACCCCAGTTTTTGTTTCTTCTTTTATTCCCAGCAATGATGCCAAGTCTTCAGACAATTTATATCTTGGGGGTTGTTTATCTAAATTTAAAAATATTTTACATTTAACATTGGTATCTCCCTTTCGCTTAATCTCGAATCCATCAACTCCTTCAGTATTATTGGTCTTATTCCACTGTTATAAATTATCAATTAGACATTTAATTTAACTATAAACCAAAAGGTTATAACCAATTATGATTCCTTGCCTCAATCGTATTTCCATCTGGATACATTTCAGGGTCTCTATCCAAGTCAACAATAATAGAAATAAAAAAAGTAGAAAATTTTCGAGACGGAATTTTGTTAGTCTTGGATGAATTTGATGGCTAAGTTTTTGACATTTTTATAACAATAAAATTAGTCAGTAATTTTGACAATTAAATAAGAATTTAAAAAATTTCACTTACATCAAGTAGTCTTCCCTCAATTTTCAATATCCAAGCTGGAACATTTGTGTCTCCAAATCCAATGTCATTACTTTCACTATCTCTCTGAGGATTTTGATTAACTGCTGTGTTGGAGATAAAGACTCGTAGTGTGCGTTTAATCTATATTCAGTTATTTCAGTTAATCCTCACTTCTATCACATTTAGAAACAAAGAATAAAATAACAATGGATCACCTTCATTGGTTTATTAATTGTCTCTTGTACTTCAAGGCGTTTTCTCATAATTGTCGCGTCTAGCCTCTTTTCAAAATTTTGAAGTTCCGTATATAAAAGAGACTCGGGTACGAGTGTATCAAGCTATTATAATAAGGGAACAAACATAAATACTTTATTATAAGATCGCTTTTAAAAGCAAAATAAATATGTATTATCTATAATTATTAAAAAATTCATACTTTCTCCGGTATGTTTCGGTCAAGTGCTCTTTTTTTCCTATTTTAATCGGAAAAATTAATAATTTTTATAAAGCAATCAAAGAAAAATACGCGAATTCGTATAAAAATTATTTTTCCAATGATAAACTTACTTCGCTTGTTGCATACCGCTATTCAGCATAGGTTCAGGATTGCGTTTTCTTATTATCATTGGCCCCTGTGTCGCTGCCGAAGGACCAGCATGTTGTTGAATTAAATGCTGTTGGTTTGCGGTTGCCATTGTTATTCTTTGCGATGTTTGCATTTGTGCATGTGGTTGAATATACTAAAAGGAAAATTGAAGGGAATTAAACATTTCTTGGCTCAAAAAAATGAATTTGTTTTCATAGTTAATAGTGATATGCACGCAGAAGTACGTTACACCAAAGTTTGATATATTCTAAGCATAAACCCGAGAGCTTCAGGTGCAAACCATAAATGGGAAAGCTGAGCTTTGACAGCTTTGATATATCAACTCGGGCAAACTCTGCGGATATTAGCTAACGCAGTTTATTTTTTTCGTTGTGAAAATAACCTGAGATTGTCCGTAAGGGAATGAAGCTGGACGATGTTGGTACTGAGGATGTACTCCTGGTGTGAGAACAAAAGCATTTGTTGAATATTGGTTAGGATAACCCGAAGGTGCAACTGGGCGTGGACCTCTTTGATGATTCATGTTATTAATTTCACCGTGATCAGAATAAAAAAAAGCGTGAGATGATTTATTGAAATTGAAGAGGCAGCTTTTATAAGGAAATCCAAATGTTGCTTAGTTGTTAAATCACGTGATGCACGTGACTTGCATGGGATCAATTTTGAATAGTAAATTATAAAAAATAAAAATGATAAAAATTCCTTTATTGACATCAATAAACCTATCTTTGATACAAAAATTTTTTATTTTTATTTATTTATTTATTTTTTTAATATAAGTCCTGTTGTTTTCTTTCCCATATCTAAAAAAGATAAAAGTAGAATGATTTTATGATGAGAATCTCTTGTACGAATAAAATATAGTTGAATTTGGATGTTACCTGAATATAACTTTCGGATAAAAAGATCATTTGTGCGTTAATTTCTTCGACAATTAAATCTTGGATTTGATACCATTGATCTTTTCCACGATGTTGAACATGAACTTTATAAATTCCATTACCTTTACCCGGCTTACCTTCGTGACAAATGTTCGCAATTAAATCATAATGAGTATTAAATTTTTCTTCATCTGGATTTTCAAGATCTATATTAATTCATTTAGGAGAAATAATTAATGAAGTGAATATAGAAACATTGAGTTGAACTTTTCACAATAAGAACAATATATCTTACATTCGCTCATATCGATATTTTTGATTGGGAAGTTGACAATAGTAGGATTTTTCTCTTCAGACCAATTGTTCTTAGTAAAACGTTTGATATGAAAAATGATATAATTTGGTAATCGAGTCAATTGAAACCTTTTCAAAGTTCCGGCCGACTCATGAGCAGCACGACCGTCATATTTAGCGAGTATCGTTGTCAAGGCAACCTAAAGAAAGATGTATTATATAATTATTTTTGTTATACGATATAACTATTGTGATCTTACTTGAGGAATAATATTCTTTTCAACTTCATCCTTAAATAAAGGAGGCGCAGGTAAATCCAATGTCAAAAAAAGAAAAGGGAATTTTTTGACCGAAATTTCTATTTAAAGACAATGTTTATATCAAAAAAAATACAATATATAATTAAGTTATTATGAAATGCGAAATAAAAAGTTTTACCCCTGTCAACATCAAATAATAGTCGATCTTCTTCATCGGCATTTTCTTTTGTAATAAGCGACTGTTCTTCAACTTTAACTTCTCCTTGAAATATTCTATGAATTATGCCTAATATTAACAATATAATAACGTTAATAAGAGATAACTCGTTCAAATCATAATATACGAAAAACCAACATACTTGAATTTTGTTTCTTGATTCCACCCAAATCCTTGTGTAATGTATTCAAAAACCAAGACAGAAATTCAAGAGGATCACTTTGTTCAGAAAGTTTGAATTTTTTGTTACTTGCGTTAACAATTTCCTGAAGTAACTCGTGTGGACTGACTTGGCCTTTGAATGCCTTAGGATTCCAAATTTTTCTAACCAGAGTACTGAATCTTTGCACTTCGTGTAAAGCGTTAAAGAATTTAGATTGGAAAATTTAAAATCTCAACTTTAACAATATCGTATTATACCTAATTGAGATCTAGTTTCGAGATTTTGTAAGATGAAGTAATCCCGAAGCGGTGGAATGTGTGCCAGCGCTTGTATTATGACATTAACATAATCATTAGCTTTTACATTATTGAGGCCTACAAAACCTATATGGCATAGACAATTCAATGTTATGATCATCTAGACTATATTGAATATCATAAAGTAAAAAAAAATCTCCCGAATCATTTACCCAGCTGTTACCTGGCAAGTATTTTTTATTATTTAAATCGTATGATTGTCTTATATTTTGATCCAAATTCGCGACTTGTTCTTTTGTAAAGGTTGGATGAAGTACATACTATAATTAAATCAAATTAAATTAAAAGTCGGATAAAAAAAGAAATAAATAAAGTTGAATTCTTACTCTAATATCATTCAATGATGGATCCTTGACTTCATATCCATCAGGTAAAACATATACCTATTGAGATTTAACAATTGATATTAATATTAAGTTGAATATCTAATTCAATCAAATTCATACCTTAAGGGTATGTAAATTAATGAAAACATGGTGATCCTCATGTAAGCTATGGAAGTACGCGTGAGATTGACGTCCTCGTCCTAGTAAGGACAATAAATACGAAATATATTATATATATATCAATAAGAATTTAGCATGAATTTGTGTATCTGCAAAATAATATATATCCTAACAAACTTTTACCTTGGAAGTATTTACCACACACCAAACACGCATATACATTTAAGTTTGATAAAGAAACTGAGCAGACCTTTTCGAAATCAAAGTCCAACATATGACGGTTTATCTAAAAAAAATAATAAAAGTTGAAGAAATATTGCAGCAATATGACAACTTGTTTTGTTTGTATAGTAGTTAACGTACAGTGTCTAGGTAGAGATCGCTAGAGCTATTAGCCGAAGTTCCGACACGAATTCTTTTTGTATCAGGTTGAGTTATATCATCATTGTCTTCGATCATAGCTTCTGCATCATCACTCAAATCACGCTTTGGAACTATTTTTTGATCATTATTCATATTAGACATTGTAAAAAAAAAATATTTCTCGTTAATTTTTTATTTTCGAGAAATCTATTTAAACTGTCCACTAATCTTTTAACCAATCAGTAATAATAATTGACCAAGTCACGTGGTTCGACTTTTATTAATTTAAAATGAAAAATATTTCTTCAATAAAAGTAAATCTAAAAAGGCATAAATATCATTTTTAAATATTCTAGACTTGTCCTATAATGACTTAGCCGACTGATATAATTCCGGCTGTTAGAAGATTTCCCAAAATAATTATTAATTACGAAGATTTTGATTTCTTTTCTTTTTTATCTTTCTTTGATTTTTTTTTCTTTTCCTTCTTTTCTCCTTCAACAGTTATTGTAGTTTCATGTTCGGATACGTCAGACTTTTTTTCTTTCTTAAGTTTCTTTTTCAGATGCTTTTCCTTTGATGATTCTTCAGCATCAATAACTTTTTCATCGTCTGACATTTTCTGTTGTAATGAAGTACAAGCAAATAAGCAAATATTTCAAATAAATAAGCTTAACATATGAAAAAATTTTTAAATTACCTTTTGTGTAGACATCTCTTTAATCTTGACCTTCTTTGCCTTCTTTTCTTTCTTTGATGATTTTGACTCTCCTGTAGGAATATCGGAATCTTCTTCGATTTTCCTCTACATTTGTATAAAAACGTTAACGATAATTGTTGAGATATTTTCTTTTTCTTTAGAAAGAAAAGTACCTTTTTAGCCAAACTTGTTCCTTCTTCCTGATCTTCCGTTGATTGAGCTGATGTAACTGGTGGTGCAGTCGGTACAGCAGTAACTAAATTGGCAGGTGGAACTGTGGCCGATGATGATGTACCGGGATCGCCCTTAGTACCAACTGCACTGAGATCTACAAATGAAGTTTTCCAAGAATTAGGGGTGTTATCATTTACGCGACCATATTTGTCTAATTTTCCTTCGGAAATTAGTTTCTTCTTTTCCATAGCCTATTAATCAAGTTATTGAATTAATTTTAAAAGTCCACAAAAGTTTATCAAGAATGAATTATATAGTTCCTATCAATAACCTTGGGCCCTAATCCCCATGCCCTTGGATATGTATCACGCTCCATAATCACTCTTTTTATTTTTGCGACAACTCCTATAAAATAATAATTAGTAATATTGATTTCAATTTTGATTTTATGTTAATTATATGCGAATAAACAAACATACATACCGTGATCTACAGAACTCATAACTGCAGTGGTCATTAATGCTATACCTAGAGCAATAGCTTCACCTTTTGTAGTCATAAGAACAATCTCTTCATTTAACTCAATACCATCCTCATATCGAAGCAGACCTGGTATCATTAGTTTAGCACCATAACAAATGGCGTTGACGGCACTATCTTTGACAACAATTCTCTTATATGTCGTGAGAAGAGATTCAAGAGGACGAATAACTCTTCGAAGATATGTTTCTAATAAAGAAATGGAAACATAATATTAAATTAAATTATTAAAATGGATAATTGGATACAGTTGGAAGTCATAAATTTATTACCGTCTCTTGTATTTTTGTATACCCATTTGGCATCCAAAACATCATGCATTGTTACAATATCATCCTATAATTTAAAGGAAATATGTAAATCAATTATCTTATTAACAAGAAATACAAGAACTAAATTTGATGTGACACTCACATTCTCAGACAATGCACCAGAACGAACGCGTCGAAGTTCTGCCATATGAGCTCCAACTCCAAGAATCAACCCCAGATGCACACATAATGTTCGGATATAAGTTCCTGCTTCGCAGCTTACCCAAAACAATCCCAAGTGTCGATTTTCATCGAATTCAATCATCTTTGTTTCATGAACGGTACGGATACGCAATTGACGTTTTACAGCAGAAATTAAAGGAGGTCGTTGGAAGAGAGCCCCTGTGAGTGTTTCTAAGCCTTGTGTAAACTTCTTGGCAGATTCAAGAGCATCGTGAAATCGAATTACGCACACATACTCCTTTCCTATTTTATATAAGGTTCAAATACGTTTACCTTATGTCTATTTCGAAAATTAGTTCACTAACAATTACCTGCACTTTGCTGTGATTTAACTAAACGAGTCGCCCGATCTACACAAACTATCAAGCAGCCTGTTACTTTAGGATCTAAGGTACCGCTATGACCTGTCTTTTCAACTTCAAGGATACGCCGTACCCATGCCACGACTTCATGAGATGAAGGATTTGCGGGTTTATCAAGATTGATTATTCCATATCTAATGATTGTTAATTATCAATCTAGTCTGAACGATTTGTATAAACAAAAAAGAATGAAAAATTTCACGAATGATAACAAACTTAATATAATCAATTATTGCACGCTTAAGTGGTGAACATCCATGAGTGACGGGTGTATAATGACCTGTACGAACATGAAGCTTATCATAATTCTACAAGATTTTTCGCGAATTAGTAAATAATTATTCCCTAATGTTACAGAGAAGAGAAAATAAACTTGAGCTCGCTTAATCGCATACTTTTAAGAGCAAAGGCCATTCTGATGTATCTAAAGCTGGTGTATGTTTTTGAGGTTTAATAGAGTATCCTTCGCTCTCTATTGAATCAGCCATAACTAATCAAACAAATATAATTAGAAAGAGGATTCACATTCCAGTGTATCAATTATCACGAATTTACATTAAGTTGTACTAAAATCTCTTCCTTTATTTAGTTTACTTACCCAACCAAATATTTCGAAAGAGAGATTTTGTTTTTGTTTTTTTTTTTAAAAAAAATAATTTAATTTTTTCCGTTAAGTTAATTAACGGTGTTTTTTGAAATAAAGTAATGAAGTATTTATAGAGCGTATGGGAAAAAATTTTTTTTGATTAAAATTTTACATCTGTGCATCACGTAGATCATAATGACGTCATCTTCTTTTCTAAGTATAATCGATTTCTTCTATCGTACAATTTGAATAAATCCGAATGGTTTTAAATCTTAATTACATGAACTTATTAAATTAGCGAGAAAAGGACAAAATAATTAACGAATTCAACAAACTTTACGTGACGCGAAATTTGTTCAAAATCGTAAACAATTGTTCACGTGCACGTGATTTTTTATGAAAATTTAGGTTAAATGAAAGACCGTAACAAAATGTCACAATCAAACTACTATCCGAGAAAACTTTTCACATGTATCACGCAGTGATCCGAACTTATATATTTATTTTTTGCACGTTACAACATTTACAATTTTTACGTACATCGTGACAAAATGTCACGGTTTCTTTATAACCTAAACTAGTTATTGGTATCATTGTAATATCCGCAGTATATACAGGTAAACCATTGTATAGCGATCTGAATGATATATTAAAATTTTATTCTATATCATCATTAAGTCCATGCACATGCGTAATTTTTTTTAAGTTTAGACTATCTCTTAACATTGATTTACCACTTGTATTAACTTTAACAGTTTGTTAAAAAATGATTTGTAACTTAATCGCTAGTTTTAATCTTTTTAGTTGCTCGCTAAAAGAGGAAACAAGTACCACTTAACAAAAGGAAAGACCACAATTAATCAATAAACTTTTATGATACCTTACCTCCGACTCCAGCTTATCATTGTCTGCTATACGTTTCAATTCTTTCAACACATTATGACCAAAACTTGAAAAGAAAAGTTCGGCATTAGAAGGATCGATTACAATAAATAGTTCATTTGCTAAAAAAAAAATTAATAAACCAAAGAATTGATTAAGATCAACAAATAATAAGAAACTTGACCAATAGAGATTCAATACCTTTTGAATAATTATAATAAGAAGCTACCGTTCTTTGTTTAGTTTCAGCAGGAAAAACTACAAGAAAACGGATCCACGAGAGCTCATGTGCCTTACAATACTTTGATTCTAAGCAATCAAGCATTTCACCTCTTAGCTTCTCTTTCAACTCAGTTCGTTTATTTCCATGAGAATAGAAATGGTACGGATCTGTTGTACCTCCTGTGTCACCGGGTGGGTCTTTCACTAGTTTTGCCTGAAGAAAAAGGGGAACCTCGACAATGCCATTTGGAGTATGGAACTCAACAATGCACACCAAATCTGGGCCAGCTTCTTTTTCCGGCATAAAGAAAGCAGTAGTAGGATTATTGAGAAACGCAGGCAGATTGAATCCATCCTTCATAGTACCATTTGAACTAAATATGGCCGAGTTACGGTCATCAAAGTTACGAATAGTTGCTTCATAAGAGAGTAAATTCAGCTTATCAATATTCTCTATATTGGTAAAAGATCATGTTCCTTACAACTTTTCGCATTAAATAATTCTGCAAGCGGAATGGTCAAGCAGGGCTTAAAAAGAAAACCTGCACATGATGCATTATAATGAACTGAAGATAGATTTTGATATAACCAGGTCTCAAATAGTGTTGGTCTCCGTAACCAAAAGTCAAGTAAATATAACGGTTGTAAATCAGAATTACCATCTTTTAGCTAACCACAATGGTGTAGTATTTACAGCCAATTTACAGCTTACGTTTATAATATTACAATCACTAAAGGTTGTATATTGATATATAATAATCGTTACTTACGGCAACCAACCTTAGTCTCAAATACTTCAGGATGCTTTCTTATATATTCTCTAAATGCCAGGATGGGAACCGGCTCTGCTATTTGTACTGTAATGGCATCCTTTTGAAGTGTATTTAGATCTGCCAGACGTTTAAAACTACAAAGCTGGGCAAATCCATACTGAACCATTTCTAAAACTCTGCCTCCTCTAATTATCTTTGTATCACGAGAAAACATGCTAAGAATCACGATATCCAGCACTTTGTTCCATGCTTCTTTTTTCTCATGTAAACGAGGAAAACATGATTCCATAAAATATTCAATTATGGAATTTTTTGCTCTAACTTGCCAATTATTCACAATTTGATTCATATTTCTGGGACATTAAAGATGAGTCTAATAGAGCAGATTCCATAAACTGTATTATAAATCGTCGGCGCCTCCGAAAAATATTATATGTGGATCTTATCAGTTCGTCATAGTGGTAAGAAACATTGAATAAACTTACTCATTTCATCACATTTATAAAATCCATCATGTATACTGAAAAAATTCTTATATGTGGCACCATCAGATTTAGCGATAGCAGGGACATTATTATGATTCGTGAGATTATCATAAAAACTCATTCCTGTTCCTGATAGTACAAGACATAACTTCTCCGTGCTGAGTCTGAGTACTGCCTGAAGCAGGATAGCAAAGAATGGTCGTAATGGACCGTTTGCAATTGTTGTGGAAAAATGTTTCTCGTGCTTATTGATGGCCACTTGTGATTCATCAATCACGATTGGTAACTTCTCTTGCTTAGGGATCAAGGTTTGGAATTTCTTAACAAATGTATTAATGAGTCCATCCTGATCTTCTAGTCTTAATTCGCGAAAAATACGTGAAATGCCAATCCAGAAGTCTTCCCCACTAATTTGTATTGGCAAGAGTTGCATCAGAAGCCATTGCTTTGGTGTAAAATTGCGATTGTAATCTTGATTAAAGTTTGTTTAAAATGAATAATCGGCCAAGAAAAATGGCACAAGTGAATTTAAGTGCATAGATAGTGTTCATTTCAGGGTCATTTGCAGTTAAGTATCGGCCTAATTCACGAATAGAAATGTCCATGTCTTGAGATCCCAAGTTTTTGGAACCATTTCCGGCACTCAATGAAATGTAAATTCCAAATGTTTTACAAAGTAGCTCATATAGAGAACGGGTTTTTCCAGATCTAGAACCAGAAAAAAAGATAAGTCATTCATTCGCCTTTGCCCGTATTTTGTCTTAGCTTCAATAATTCCTATTCTTACCCAACAAGAAGAGCCAACGATTTTCCTTCATCTTCATATGTCCTAGAATCAAACAATTAAGCGACAACATCATTTTTTTTCCCGTAATTTTTTCAGAAAAGTTTTAAGAAAATTTAATTTGTGAAAGTTTAAGAAAAGTTTGAGAGAAGTCTAAGATATATATACTTTATATACTTTTCTGAATACATCGTGAATGATCTTTATAAACTCTTAATTTGTGACACGAAATATGATATAATGATATAAATGATATAAGCATTGTAAAAAAAAAAGTTTATAAAATTAAAAGTGATTCATACGATTTCAGTTTGCATTCACAAGGTATTTATTAATTATTCGGTTGTACACATGTTACACAGCCGATCACCAACTCACTCCTTATTCAGTTCGGACAGTTGATACAGTTGATAGTCATTTTTTTTAGTTTTTTTTTAAACGCGTTAAACACTAAACGTGTTCACATTTAATATTAACTCAAAAGCAATAAGAACATCTTAATAGTTTACCAGTTTCAAACTTTATTAACTTACAATGGAGTAATAAAACGCAAGAAAATGCCATAGTTTTTTTTACAACAATATAACCTTATATTAGAAAATATTCTACCTGAACATAAATGGAAAACACGTTATAGTGATAAAGCTAAAGGAATTTATGTTTTACAATGCTGCTGTGTAAGTGATATGAGTTTAAACACGAAAAGTCTAACTTAGGAGAAGCAAAAACACGAAAAACCCTTCTCATATCTTTGATGATAACATGGACTATGTAAACAGACATTTAGGGGGAAAAGTTTTAATTGATAATGAAAGTATTTATTACCAAATCAAGATATTATAAATATTCATAATTCAATGATAAAAGATTTTTGGGGAATTGATAAGCGAAAAGCTGAAGAAATTAATATAAACCAATTATTTGGACCAAATAGTAAAGATAATGAAATGATGGAAGCAACAATTTATTATAAACCATGAAAAGAATTAAATGATCGGTTTATATTGGTTTTAGCTACTAAAGAACAGCGAGAATTAGCATGGGAATTTGGCCATAATAAAATTCTGCATCTGGACGGAACTTTTGGTATTTCAAATAAAAATATTATTATTTGTTCTACTAGTATTGGACGAACAGAATAAGGGAATACCTATTGGATACTTGCTTTTTTCAGCAGCTGGAGGCGCACAAAAAGCTAGTAGTAGTTACAATCATACAATTTTAAAGGAATTATTATTATATTATAAACATAGATTAGAGCAGGAAAAAGGATATAAATTTACTCCAAAGGATTCGGCCATGTTTTCGGCAAGTTTCGACTACATGTATAGTTCAAATCAAACCGTCTAACAAAACAGCCGAATACCGACACGTTCAATTCGATCGATGAATAACAAATTCTAAATAATTATCAAAAAACGAGTTGTAAGTTTGTAATGGGTATTTAAAATTTTTATCGCTTCCGATATTAGATCTTGCGAGATTTTGGTTACATGTTAGAAATCACTCAGAAATCAGAATTCTTGTCATCGTTCTACAGTACTCTTAAAAAGTTTGACAGCGATACTTTCATTAGACTAATGTCTGATTCATGAATCTATTATCTTCAATAATTAAATATAATTTCTTTTATAAACAAGGATCATTTGTTAATTCATATTTGTATTTCTGTCTCTCAACACGAGTACAAAATTATAAATAATTTAAACCTCCATTAGTTCAGAAGTTCAGAAATACCATGTGAATGCGGGAAACTTTAACTTTAGTGTTACAGGATAATATGTTCTAATGATTTATATTACTTACAGGTGAGAATTTACCAATTGTGTTGTATTAATTAATTAAAACAATGTTGGCAAAAAAAAAAAGATCAAAAGATCTCAATTACTCAGAACCAGCATTTATATTATTACATATCTAAATGATGTCAATGCGTTTTGTGTAACTTGATGTTAAAAGCTAAAACTTTCCATTCTGAAATTATATATATATATTATTTTATCAATGAATCAACGAAATAAATTTCTTTTAACCTGAGGGCTAATGACGAAAAGACTAGCAAATCATATTATTTTTTGAAAATACTGTACGAGAAATTATGAAATAGACAATGAAAATTCAATATTACATATAATAAATAAAAAAATTGATTGCAATATGGTAAAATCTAGCATCAGGTTTCATATTTCTTTTCTAATCGCATATCTTTCAAAAGTTGAATTTATCTCTCAAGTGAGACAATAAAGGAATTATTGACTTTCCAGAATATTAAGCGTAATATACTGTATTTCAGGAACGTGACGGAATAATAAAATACGTGATTAAATTTTTCACTTATTTGATATTATGAAAATCGTTAAATCAGTTACTAATATTTTTAATTCTGATTAACAATTTAACAGTTTATTAATAAATTAACAATAATATTACGAACATAAAATATTTTAGTCAAAAGAAATAAATTTTTTTTATATTATATATACAAAATCTATTATCGATAAATAAAAAAAATAATAAAATAAAAATAATTAATTTACATGTCACGGTAGTAATCATATCACAGGTTGTACACGAAATCACGAATACAGCCCGATGATATTGATCATAAACCCATTATAAAAATAAAAAAATTAAACCGTTTTAAGTTATAAAAATGTCTAAATAAAAATTGATAAATAAAAATTGATAAATTTAATTTCGTTATTGAATATTATCATTATTTCCCATAACGGAAATTCCTAAACCTACAGAATCATATTCATCACCATCATTATTATGTCCACTATTATTATCGTACTTTGAGGCAGTTCCAAAATTATTTTCATTCTGTAATATATTCCAAAGTTCGTCTCCCGCAAATTCATTTAAAGAATCCGAGAGAAAATCTTGTGGCTGCATCGGAGGGGTTAACATTGTATTTTCCGCAGGTAATGAAGTAACATTTAATGTATTAGAAGATAATTCATCATGATTCCATCGTTGAGGCCGTGCAGATAATGGAGGTGTCCAAGGTACATTATTATTTACATTGCTCTTATCATCAAGCTGATCAATATATTGTTGTGGTGATAAACTTGTATCAATATGTTGAGGTTTTGCATCCATTACTTCATGTGATATATGTGGTGAAATATGTGGTGAAATATGCGGTGAAATATGTGGTGATTGTCCTAATGGAGAATTATATTCTTGAGATGAATGATGTAATTGTGAAGGATGATAATCTTGTAGTTGTGGGGATTGACTCAATGGTGTATGAAATTGTTGTGGCTCAAATTGTGGAGATTGCTGTGAAGGTGTTCGTTGTAAAGGAGTATGATATTGCGAACCAAATTGTTGATTATTTTGATGTTCAAATTCCTCAGGTTCATCAACAATGATACCGTCTACTGTTAATTGTGGCAAATCAAGATTCTGTCCAGAAGAAAATGCCGAAAAGTTAAAAGTTTTATCTGTCTTAAACGTAAAATTGAACTCTTGCGTATTTTTCTGTCCCATGAAATCATATCTTGAACCAAAATTATGCATTTTAGTTCCTTTCGTGTAATTCATGGATGATGAATAACTTAGTGACTTTGATTTTTGTTTGCGAGGCATAAAATGTCCTCCTCCACTTTGTTTCCTTGCTATCCAACTATATTGTCTTCTAATTGATTTTTCATCATCAGCATCATCAGGAATAAATACTTCCCAATCTCTCGCATTAATTTCATGTTTACCCACTCTACTCGTTTCTATGCCTAACAATCTTCGTTCACCACATTCAGTCTTTCCTGCATTAGATAATTCATCGACTTGCAGCTTCATAATTTCTAGACGTTGTAGCATGTCTCGAGATTTTTTGTTATTTTCGCTTTCGTTATTAATATGCCAGGAAAAGACGCACATTGCTGGATTAATTGCTAAAGAGCCAGAAACCGAAAATTTAAAAAAATCCGTATGCTTATCTAATAAGATTTCAAGCCAATGAACGATAATGGTAGCTGACTGAATACAAATTATGGATGAATTTGTAGTATTAATACTATACTGTGCTTCAGGTTTCATGTATCTACTGTGAAGTAAAATTAGTATAGTATAGAAGAAGATATGTATATCACCTATTGCATAACAAACAAAAAAAAAAATATGTTTTTGAGAACACGAATAAACAAAAAATATTACCTAAATAAATTTAAATAAAATTATTTACCTCCAATACCATTTAATAAAATTCCATCAGGATCTTTTACCATTTTTTCAAATCTCAACCAATCCGGCAGAGAATTAAACCAACTTGCAAGTGCAGCATCCAAAACTCTAAATTTATTTTCATCCTCTTGCACCAAAAATCTTAATCTTGATGCAGCATGTATATATTTCCTTACCCTAGCACAAATCCTACTAAGATTTATTAGATAAATATAGGCTATTTCAAGTTTAGTCTTTTCGTTTGTTGGATTTTGATTAGATGGCATTGAAGGAACATCTATGTCACAATCCGTTTCATCAATCATGTTAGGACGACCATAAGTAGCAGAGACGAGACTTAAAAATTAAAATCAACCGTGTTAGTAAACTAATAATATTTTAATAAAAAAGTAAATTAAAGTAACTTACTTTTCAGAAATAAAAGTCATCCAAAATGCTTCATTTCTCATCTTTTCTACTTCTTTATCCATTTTGACTTTTATAAACTTCCTATGCAACCCAAGCTCAAATAACATCTTAGTTGCAATTCCATTGTATATCCAACGAGAACCCATCTGAATGATGAATAAAACTTTATTAAATATATTATTTAAAATAAGAAAAAATTGTGACATTACAATTACCTGTTTATTATGCTGCCCTAAAAGAATAATGGCCATTACGGTAAGAGCATGTGGCTGTGTACAATATTCATATAGTAAAGCTATTTCAACATTAATCATTATGTTAATATAAAATTGTAATGATGAAACCAAATAAAAGTTTACTCATTTATATTACCTTCGGCTCTGTCAAAATATATTTTCCCATCCTTCTTATCTGGATCATCATGGAACGGGGAGGCAATAAAGAATATACAATTCAACAAGAGCAAATGTTGGGGCTTAGACAAATTTCCAGGAGCATTCCTAACAACTTCATGAACATTCCAAACGATTTCTTCTCTAATAGCAGGAAAATATCGATGAACATGCTAATAAAAAAAAATTTTTGTATGAATTAAAAACTTTAATTGATTGGAAGCGATTAAATAAAATATAAACCTTAAAATATAAACGTATTAATTCACTGGCAGTCTCTTCATTCGGTAAAATCTTTAACGATTTATCAACTTCTGATATATCTTTAGTCATTTGAGGAATAATCATTTCACCAATATTATCCTCATCAAGCATTAGCAAACTACCTTCACCAATATATCGTGTTGATTCATAAAGGTTCATATTCTTGATATTTGTAATTAAATCTTCCATTACGGTATCTTCAGTTGACGCATGACGACGTTGTTGAATAAATTGTTGAGGTTGTCGTTGAGGTATCTGTTGAGGTAATTGTTGTTGAAGTAATTGTAAGGGTGGCTGATGATGAGGTGGCTGTTGTGGCATTTGTTGGTGTGGCGATTGCTGAGGCTCTTGGAATTGTTGAGGCGGTATTGATGTTTGAGGTAGATAGTTTTCAGATAGCTGTGGTGCCTGTTGTATGAGCATGGAAAAATTATCGTTGTTTAGGTAATATGGATCGTACTGTTGAAGTATAAAAATTGTTATATTAGCAAATAAGAGGTAAATTTTTGTCGAAATTTGATATTGTGTTTTATTTTTAATAAATATATATATATATATATGAACCTGCTGTTGTTCAGTATCTTTTGGAATGGATGAAACGATATTAGAAGAGTACTGAAGGACCTCAGAGGTAAGTATTGAGGTATCATCCTACGTTGAATAAAGAGATCACACAAATCAATAAAAAAATAAACTCATCAAAAAAAAAACAAAATAGATCAAAAAAAATTACTCACAGGACCATCATAAACGTTTGACATTGTCATCGGTCTTGCCAACATTCCAGGAACATGTTGACTATTATCGACATCGATCCCAAATCCTCTCGAAGCCATCGATAAATAACCTGATTCATCATATAATTGTCCAAACTGCATTTTTTGCAAGTAATTTAATTGTGTTTGAAAAAAATTAGTGTCAGCTTGTGCCCTCATTCCAGTCTGCTTATCTCGCATTGTCTCTGTGAGAGCAGCATATGTATAACTGCATTTTCTATTTGTCTTTCTACATGTACCACATTCTGGTCGTTCTCTATCACATTTAACCTTGCGATTTTTACAAACATCACAAGTTGATACTAATTTTACCCGCTTAGGATTTGTAAAAGGTCTAAGATAAACTGCATCCATTTAGTTAAAATAATAATGGGATATGATTAGATAATAAGTAATATATATATATATATTTTTAATAAAGAAAATGAGAAAATGAGAAAGAGAGAAAACAATAATTTTTGTTTAAAAAAATTTGAAAATTTGAGTAACTATTTATTTATTTTGGAAGTTAAAAATTAGGTATATATATATATTATTCATGTGTACCTGGTTGATCGACCATTACCAAATTATTTTTTTATGTCTTATAGTAAATCCGCAATTGATTTACCGATTTTCATTGGATTATCAAAGTCAAAAAAAAAAAAAGAATTGTTTGACAGCTATATTAGGGAAGAGTTATTTTTTTCGGGAATTTTCTTTTTTGGAATTGTAAGGTAGAAATATCAATCATTTATTATTTATATCAAAAGAATACTTAATTTCCGATGAATCTTCCTTAATTCTCTCAATTCTCTAGCTTTGCCTTTTCTACAAAGCCACAACTGGATTTGTCAATTGCATTCGCCCATCTCTAATAAACTATTACTCAAAAAGGAATTTTTAAATAAAAAAAACATTACGTATTACTAATAAACTTTTGTAACACATAACAAGTCCTTAAGAAGGTTTTTTTTTTCTGAAAATTACAAATTTATCAAAAATCTCATGATTTTTTCCGTAGAAAAATCTTAAACATGAAATAGAAAAAAAGCAGGGACTAAAATATGTAAATATTATATGCTATGTAAAATCTTAAAGATGGTACAGTGATTTCATTATGACTATTGTTTTCCTCATTAATTTAATTATTAATTTATAAATTAAAAAAATGAATACATAACAAATAAGTATAAAAAAAGAATGATACAAATTTCTTATAAAAAAAAAACTTTGTCAATTAAACGAATAAGTATCAATTTACAGCTGAGCACATTTAATAATGCTCGAAATATTTAATATTCGGTATATACCTAAAAAAAGTATTTTCACATTGACGCTCATTAGAACTAAAAAAACTTTAATTTAATAATATGATTATTAAATGAAATTTCCAAATGGGATCCAATTTAATAATTTTGAATAAATCTTTTTAGCCAATAAAATTAGTATTTTTCTAAGCCTATTTAGATTTTACGATATCCGAAAATTTTGTTAATAAAGAATTTCTCCATATGTTATTATACAATTATTTTTTACAGAATTGTTAAACCAACTGATGATCGGACTCCTTTAATTACATAAAATTTTCAAACTCCAAAAATCCGGCTTATTTTCTTTCTCTGTTGAAGTGAACAAACTTGCGGCTACATTAATTTGCTGCGGAATGAAGCAAAATAACGTATAAGAAATATATGAAACAATTTGGCGTTTAACAGATCGTTTGCTTGCATGTACATTGGTACTTTTTATTTTCAAAATTAGCATGACTTTCAAAGACGTTATATATATTTGGTCATAAATGAATAGATATATATATGTATATGAAAGGTTTTAACATCTGGCGTATTTTGACGACATTTTGGGTGGATTTATCAAAAAATTCACATGATGGTTAGATATTTTAATTATTGCTATAAAAGTACATTCTATTAATCTTCTAACTGCCAACTATACTAGACATATTAGACATCCTTTTTTTTATATTTAGTTGTATAATTGAATAATATATTCTAGAAACTATCTTATTTGCCAAAATAATAGCACTTGTCAATAAAGTAAGAAACGGAATAGTATCATATGTAACTGTTAAATTTATATAAATAACCTAAAATTTAAAAAAAAATTTAATAATGTATGTAAGAATTATAATTTTAATATTAATATTTTTAACTTACTAACCTGAATAATTAATTGAGGAATATCTTCAATAAAAAGCCCAAGAAAACTACCCCAAAAAATATAAGATTCAGCTTTTACAGAAATAGGAGCATTAAATATCATTATACCAGCAACTTGAGAAGTAAGTATATTTAATATTTCAATATCAGTACCTGCCAATATTGTAAATAAAGCTACTATACTTGTATTGTTTTTAAACCATTTATAAAAATTCTTATTTTTTGTAATTTCTTGAAGTACTATAGAAATACCTAAAATAATATTGATTGTTGTTGGTACTACACAGAAAATTATACTAATAATGAAATAAAAAAAAATGCAAATTAACCAAAAATATATATAAAACATATGTAAATTAATTTAAAAAATAGTTGTATTTATATACCTTGGAATGAGTATTCCATTAACCTTATTTCCTTTAGTTAGAATGAATGTAATATCCAAGGCAAAGTCCAATAATATTAAAGAAAATTTAAATATAAAAATATTTTTACCCTAAAAATAATGAAATTTTATTTAATAAACTTAATTAATAATCAAATATTATATATAATAACTTGTGTACATTACCTTAGGATACTTTTTCTTAATACAATAATAAATTAATCCTATGGTAATTATTCCAATAAGTATACCAATAATATGAAATTTATAGCAATCAAAAAAATCATCTAAGTAATGTAATTAAAAGTATTAGATCCATTAATAATATTAGTAAAATTAATTTTTAAAACTTACGAGTTTGTTTAAATCCAAAAGTAGCATCTATAAAATTGGTTGTGTTAAACCATGAAATAGGGGAGGTTTCTTTCTCTCTAATTAACATATCTAAATCTTTTATAACATCAATTACATTTCTTTCATTTTTATTCATTTTACATTTGATAAATAATATTAAAATTATTTGACCATTATCAAATTCACAACATTTAATATCCAATCTATTAATATCAATTGGAATTGCTTTGGCCAGATCAGCTTTTAACTGTAAAAAAAATTCTGATTTACGATCTTGTGGAAGATTATAATAATATTTTGTTCCATCAGCCGTTAAAGAAAATGTTCCAGAAGAATCATCTGTAAAAATATAAATATAATTAGTTATACTATAGTATAATTGAAATTTAATTTATATACTGTTTGGAGCATGCGGAGCATCAAAAATTAAATTTACCTGCAAATTTATCATCATTTATGCCACCTATTTTTTTAAAAAAATAAATAAATAAATAAAAAGAGTATAAAATATTTGTTGCAATAAATGTTAACTTTTAAAATTAAATATCTACTAGTTTCGAAGTTCCAATAATTTTTCCCAACACCGGCTAGAGGCTGGTTTGATATCAGATCTTTAACAGCATTATCATCAATAACGATGTAATAATTTGCATTCGGTTTGTTGAAAGTGCTTTCTAAGACATTTATATGTATCGTTCTGTTATCATTACTAAGTGAAAATACTTTTGAAGGATTGCCTGGGATAGATTGACGCAATATAGGGACTCCATTATCATCTTGATATATGGTGAAATTATTAATTGATAACGTTACAGGCATATTATATGTAATATTAATTTGGGACGTCGATATCCAGACATTAGAGCCAATAAGTGGAAAGGTCTTATTGACACATGGATTATTATAATCTAATAAAAAAGAAAAGATGAATGTATTTTTTGATTAAATAATATAACTAAAAAAAAGTTTTTTCCTTGCTTACCGTTGGATATTCTTGGCAAATTTGAAGATGAAATTTTCCAAGAAAATTCATCTTCTTGAGCAATTAAATACATGGTCCCATTGTTGAAATCTCCTATTACATAAAATTCTTGAGTTACCTTTAAGTCTGTTGGAAGGCCCCAATTGCTATAATAATTTCCGTCATTATTAAGTATTGTTCCTTGAAGATTATTTATAATTTTATCGGGGGTACGTTTTAATAAAGATAACAAAAAACCTCCGTAATATAAATTGTGTAATTCTAGTTTTATTACATTATCATCAAATTTTAAATTTGAATATTTTTCAATATTAAATACAGAACTGAAAAGAAAAAAATTTTTTAGAATTCATAAAAATGAAAAAAAAAGAATAAATAGAAGATTTAAACCAACCCTGAATCTTGAAAAGATATTTTTAATAAATGTTTTTTTGATTTTTTATTAGCTTTTACGCTATTCATTACTAAAATGCAAAAAGAACTCATGCTCATACGAGTGTTACCGCAAACAAATTTATCCACACTTAAATGTGGAATTGTTGATTGATAAATTATGAAAGGACCATCTACTCCATTCATGATAGGCTTAAGATAAGAGACATAAACTATAAACCTAATGTCAGTTGGATCATTAGATTCAACGCATTTATTTTCAGCATTCATTGAGTCATATGTAATAAAAATAAAGTTCCCTTCTATTCTCGGAGAAACAAAGTATGGACCAAATGGAGTTTTCAAACTTTGTTTTCCATTATTGATTTTAATAATGTTTCTCTTATCATCACTAGTAAATATGAATAACTTAATATATTTTTTAAAGTTAAAAAAAAAAAAAAAGGTAAATCCTTACAGTCCGTCTAAATAACTCCATGATACAACAGTTTCGCTTTCGTACGTCGTAAAAAGAATCCCGTATTCTTCGGTTGTATATGATGTGATCGTAGTACCACAGGTGTATAAACTTCCATTTATTACGGAGACAGGTGCAAGATATGTATTACTAAAATTAAATGGTTAACAAATTATTAACTATTAAATGTATTAAATTCGTAAAAACTGACAAACCTAATAAATTTTCCCTCGTAATCAACAAGTAACACATAATAACTTGCTGATTCAATGTCAGTGGAATTCACGTAAAGCACCAATAAATAATTCAGTTGGTAACGTTTAATTTGAAATATTCCATTACAAAAATTATGTTCTGGTATTTGATAATCAATACTTGCAACTTCAATAATACCATTTTGATGTAATATTCTAAGATCAATTTTTGCTTCAACGCAGGTCTCATTGATTGGTCTAGTCATGTGTAAAATTGTTTTATCTCTTAAGTCAAATGTTTGAGCAATTACAAGCCTTTCGGTTTCGTTATATATAATGTTATTCCAAGAAGAATATAAGGGTTTTATAAGCAGAAAGAAAATTGCTATAGTTATAAAATATGATGATAAATTCATTTTTAATAGATTCCTTAATTTTAACTCGTGAAGTCCAGCTTGAGTAAAAAGTAGGATTTAAAACTTGCAAACTTATATACGTATAAGTTATCCGAAGTAATGTTTAAAACGTAAAACGTCTCCCCCTTAATCGAGTAAATATTGTTCTGGTGAAACTTGATTATGATCGTCAACGGTGTTTCATTTCTACCATTTAAAACCCTTACAATATAATGAATAATCACATATGGTACATATGTTGTCTTCGACGCCAATTTTTTGTTTTGGTTTTAATTCTTTAATTGATAACTTTTGATAGAAACGATCATCATGGTTTTTAATTTTGACATTTTTTTAGGGAACTTCAAACGTGATTCACTCGATCTGGTTTAGCGCTTTTTTAATAAGCCTTAATAAGTACAATAGCAAATGCCCATCTTAGATTGTGCCATTTAGTATTTGTCTTTATAATGATAAATATGGATAATAATGAATTTAATATAGTTTTATACATTTAAATAAATAACTTTTAACTTATGTATCAAGACCAATTGATTTAGCACATTCTCAAAACAGGCTGAGCTGAACTTAAGCTAAACTGAAAAAATTACATTTCCTAGGGTTCAAGAATACAAAAAAAAAGCGTTGAGAAGCATACTAAAGTGTTCGTCAGGGAAAAGAGCTGTTCACATGACAAGTTCTAACAAAAATAATTATCCATTCAATTAGTGAATAATATTCTTAATTGTAAAGCTTCAGAATGATGAGAGTTCTCTCACATCCTATTATGGGTCAAAATGTTTATATGTTATAAATATTTATATAATAGGTAATTCACGAAGAAGCATTTCCACACCAACTTCACTGTTATAAATTAAAATACTCGCAGAACCCAGCTGGGAAGAAAAACTGATCATTTTTTTCAATTAATTAATTATTAATGAATGAATGAATAATTAGTTAATGACATTTTGAATTATTGCTGAAAAAAATCATTTTAAAATTATGGAAAGATCACTTTGTTATGTCATGGTTTATCATGGTTATTGTATCTAATTTTAGGCAAACATTATTATAGATACAGTCATGTAGGTCAATGAACACTAAGCAAATCAACATTTTAATAAGAAAAACAATTTCGTGAACTAAATCCGAGGAATATATATCGATAATAACAATAAGCATTCAAATACTATTTGAATTTCGATGTGATCAGTCAATTAAGTAAGTCAAAACTATATCAGGTTATCTAACTTTTAGCTTAGTTAGATTTTTTTTCATACATAAGATAGTTCATATTTTAGAAACAAAATTTCTCTCTCACTTACTTTGGCAATAATTACTTTTTTTATGTACTATGCTACAAAATTACGAAGCATTTATTTATAAGATTATATCAATGGTTTTAAATTAGCTTCTAATTTAATAATGTGTATATATTAGGAAACGGAAACCGGCGCACTATTGCGATCTTGGTGTATTTTCAGGAGTCATTTAAAAAAGTACTACATAATCATAAAAAGAAAAACAGTGATGATTATGACAGGGTAAAATCTGGGCAGTTAACACAAATTTTATTAATTCAGTACAGTAAATATGCGCTTCAGACATATAAACGCTAGTTCCAATTAAAAAAAAGCAAATAAGAAATATAAAAGTCATCAGAAAGTTTATTTAGATGGATTGATAGAATTAAGAGAAAATTCCATTTCAAAAGAAATTTTCGTTACACAAAAAAAAATTTCGATAGCAAATTTTTATATGATCCCACAATATAACGTATAGTGGAACATGAAAAAATTGGGCAGTATTAGCGTAATTCTACCAAAATTAAAATTTTTTAAGTCTTTTAGTCAGTGTTATACGGTAGATTTGGTTTACTTAGTTGATTGACCACCCTAATGTCGCAAATTTATGATTTAAAGGTATGCAAAGGTACTTAAGCATCAATTTTAATGACTTATATTATTTTCTTTTTAATCATTTCACCTCCGCCATTTCATTTTTTTTTTCACCGTTTCACTTGGAGGCTTTCACCTTTCTTAATTTAAATATAAAAAAATAGTAATTTTGAAATTTCTATTTTGTACCTATATTAAATGATATAATTACTAAATTCTTGTATGAAATAATCGATTAGTTTAAATATTAGACTCGGGAACATAAACATTTTAAATTTGATTTTACTAATTTCACAATAATCCGGCAAATCAAAAAATCCAGGAATGTCGATCATCCGGATCCGACTTATTCTCAATTTTTCATGGAATAATGTGGTGAAGGTTTTTTTTCGCTAAACATTTTAGGTGATTCCGAACATGTTCAAAAAAGACTGATCAGATTTCCGATGATCCGATCGAATTACTGCGCTGCGTGATCAAATTTGGTAGCACACTAACACAATGCCGACAAACATAAGTCATCCTAACAATCATAGCAAGTCTTCTCTCCTATTATTATTATTATTATTATTATAATAACATATTGTATATTATGAGATGTTTGTAATGAGCTGATATATGCCATAGTTAGGCTGTTCAAATTCAATACTTTTTTTAACATAACCCTCCCCCCCCCTTTCAATTTTTCGTACCAATTAAATTAAATACAGACGTTCTATAGATAGCATGCATACTGATTTAATCAAATGATGTTACTTAAACAGAATCATATTCAAATTTTTAATGTTTTATTTTAATAGTTCTTCTATTTGAATACTTCCCATTTTATACACCCAACCCGCTAAAGAATTAAAAAAAAACTTGCCCATTTAGGATTAAATTTAATACCCTTTTTTTTTCTTTTTTAATAAAATTTTTTTTTTAAAAAAAACAGAAAACAAGAAAAATTGAATGATCACTAAACAAACTAATGATCTATTTTTTACTGAAATTTAAAATTATGGGAAAGAAAAAATATAATTTAATCCGTCTAAGAACGTGACAAATCTGACGCTGCCTCGAAGTGGAGTTTTAAATAAATGTCGATTTTTTCTTTAGCGTCTTAAAAGATCTTATTATATGCCGTTAATATGCGGCAAATTGGCACTTAAAAGTTTTATTAATTATTGTATCTAAATTACGAAAATTTATTTAATAATAAAATAAATTACCAATATTACTAGAAATTTTACAAAAAATTAGTAAAACTCTCCATTTGACCATTACACACCCAACCCGCTAAGAATTAAAAAAACTTGCCCATTTGGGAAATATAACCCGGATGGGAAGAAAAAACCAATTATTAAAATTTTAATAATTGTTTTTTTTTAATAAATTTTTTTTTTTTTTTTTTTTTGAAAAGAAATTTATAAGTGAAAAAATTGCATATTTACTGAACAAATTAATGATCTATTTATAATGAAATCTAGAAAATTTGAAATTATGGGATGTCAAAAACATTATGGGGTGTTAAAACAAATAAAAGACTCAAAAGTTTAGTTCATAGCGTTATTGTGGTTATTGTGTCTATCACGATTATCATGGTTATTGTTACTAGACTTAGGAATACATTGACTTTGCGTCACGAAAAATCCTACTCTATACTATCGATTTGAGAACAAATTATCATACATGAAGTTAAATACTGATGTAATGGTACAAATGATCTCTTTACATGATAATTTTTTTTTTTCGAATTGAATTCCTTCATCACGTGACTGCGTGAAGATTTAAATTCGATTATAAATTGAAAGTTTGGAACTGGATTTTTATCAGAATTTTTCTGGATCAAATCATATTAAAATAGTTTCGATATAATGGAATATATTAGCAAAATCCTGATAATAGAACAAACGGTTTGGTATACCAGAATAAATGAACGAACCTAATTATAAAGTTTTGATTTTATTGTTACATTATATGAAGAACAGAATTTTACATGATTTAAAAAATTTTCGACTTATCGATTATAATAGGATAATCAAATGTTAATTTTTATAGGTAAAATATTTAAGTTCAATATGTAATAATTTGTAAAGTAAACATGAAAAAAAAGTCTGAAAAAAAATGATTTTATTACTATTGATATTTGTAGAGCGGACAAATTTGATGCTGCCATGAATAAATAACGATTTTTACGTTTAGCGTCTTAAAAAATTCTTATTATAATGTTACCATACGTAATAATCAGATGCGAATTGGCACTTTAAAACTTTGTTAATTATGATCGCATCTTTATAAATTTACAGCACAGAATTTTATTCAATAATAAAATAATTTTTTATTAAATAAATTATAAATTATGTACAATCGTTCAGATGTTAAACGGAAATAGATAATTTACTATTTCATATATTAAATAATTAAATTAGAACAAAATAGCTCTTCCATTTGTATTCACACCCAACCCGCTAAAAATTAAAAAAACTTGCCCGTTTGGGAAGAACCCGATTGGGAAGAAAAACTGATTATTAAAAAATTTTAATAACCGTTTTTTTTTTAATAAGAATGAATTTTAAAAATTTAGAATTTCGAAATTTATAAGTTGTAATTAATAATAGTGATTATTTCTCGACAAACTAATGTCCCATTTATAAAGAAATATGGAAATCTTGAAATTATGGGATGTCAAAACGAATGGTTATTGTCAAAAGTTTATCAGACGAAACACGTTATTATGGTTATTATGTCTATCATGATCATCATGGTTATTGTTTCTAACTTAGGAATACATTGACTTGCAAAAAATTCCACTATGTCATCGATCGATTTGAAAACAAATTATCAATCATGGGCTAAATGCTGATGGAATGGGTGCAAATGATCACTTTAGTACATCTTTTTCATTTTTCAACACCAAATCCTTCTGAATGAATTGACAAAGATAAGACGCTAAATAGTAATTTAGATACACCTGGTGCCTTACATAAAATAATAATAAATTAATAAATAATTTAGATACACTAAATTTTAGCGTATATTAGATATACAATGCACATCTAGCTAGTTAATTTTAGTTATTTTAAAATGCAAAGTTTTATAATTTTATTGTTACACATATAAGAACGGAATTTCACATGATTTAATATGAGTTCCGGTATATCAATAATTTTCAAAATCTTTATATAAAATGTTCTTTATTCCTGTCTCTTATACACATCATCAATAATTTTCAAAATCTTTATATAAAATGTTCTTTATTCAGTTCAATATGCAATAGTTTGTAAAGAAAACATGAAAAAAAAAGATTTTATCACTACCAATTGTTTGAAGAGTATTTTAATCTGTCTAAGAACGTGGACGCTGCCTCAAAGTAAAGTTCTGAACAAATAACGGCTTTTATGTTTAGCGTCTTCTTAATATAATGCTAATGCTATCATAAGTGATAATCAATCGCGAATTTGCACTTTGAAAGTTTTGTCAATTATCGCATCTTTATAAGTTTATAGCACAAAATTTTACTAAATAATAAAAATTATTTATTTAATAAGTTATAAATTATAATACATTCGTTTTGATGTTAAATAGAAATCGATTGACTACTTGAATAATTTATTTATATGCGTATATTTATTTATTAAATAATTAAATTAGAACGAATATAAAATTTTTGAAAAATAATGATTCTTTTTTTATAGTTCTTCTATTTAGAAATTTCTCATTTTCACACCCAACCCGCTAAAATTAAAAAAACTTGCCCATTTGGGAAGAACCCGGTTGGGAAGAAAAACTGATTATTAAATTTAGTAACCGTTTTTTTTTTTTTTAAAAGAATGAATTTTAAAAATTGATTATTAAATAATTGATTATTTCTCAACAAACTAATGTCCCATTTATAACGTAATCTGGAAAATTTGAAATTATGGGATTGAATGATTACTTTGTCAAAAGGTTAGAATTTGCAATACGTTATTTGTGGTTATTGTGTCTATCATGATTATCATGGTTATTGTTTAACCTAGGAATACATTGACTTGCGTCACAAAAAATTCCACTTTATGCCATCGTTTTGAGACATAAGCTAAATGCTGATGAAATGGTACAAATTATCTCTTTACATGATAATTTTTTTTATTTTTCGACTTAAAATTACAAAAATTCCTTAACCACGTGACTGAGTGAAGATGCAAAGTGAAAGTCGACATAACGGAATTTCAATAAATTGAAACTGGCTTTTTTATCAGAATTTTTTCTGAAACCAAATCATATATATTAAAATAGTTTCGATATACTGTATATTGGATAATCAAACAAACAAGTCGTAATAAAATAGATCAGAACACGTGATGACTGATCTACATGACATTTAATAAAATTATTTAATAAAAGACGTGTAGATATTAGATGTAACTAGAAACAATGTGAAATTTTACAAAAATTTCGTTTTTAAAACTTTTCATTTGACCATTACACACCCAACCCGCTAAAAATTAAAAAAACTTGCCCATTTGGGAAATATAACCCGCATGGGAAGAAAAAACTAATTATTAAAAATTTAATAACTGTTTTTTTTTGATAAAATTATTTTTTTTTTTTTTGAAAAGTTATAAGTGAAAAAATTGATAATCACTGAACAAATTAATGATCTATTTATAATGAAATCTAGAGAATTTGTAATTATGGGATGTACAAAACATTATGGGGTGTTGGTGGTTATTATGTCTATCACGATTATCATGGTTATTGTTACTAACTTCGACTTGTATCACAAAAAAAATAATCTTGAT